TGGCTATAGCCATAAAAAAAAATTGGAGCAAAATTGACGGTTTTCTACTGTCTAATGTAAGAGGTTTTGGTAAACGTATAAATTATTTGCTGATTGATGAGTTTGGTTATAACAATGATTACAATAAAAGAGAGCAAAATAGACAGTTTTCTACAGCCTTATGAAAGAGTTATTGATAAATTTAGAAATCATTTGCTGATTGATGAGTCTGACTATAACCATGATAACTAAATAAGAGAACAAAATTGACGGTTTCTTTCAGCCTCATGAAGAAATGTTGATAAGCATAAAAATTATTTTCCGATATATGTGTTTGGCTATAATCATGATTAAAAATAACAAGATGAGCAAAATTGACGGTTTTCTTCAGCTTCATGAAAAAGCTCTTGATAAACGTAGAAATTGTTTGTTGATTGATGAGTTTAGCTATAACATTGATAACCAAAAAAACAGGAGAAAAATAACGATTTTTTATGTCCTGATGAAATAGCTTTCAATAAATGTAGAAATAATTTGCTGATTGATGACTTTTGCTATAACCATGATAACAAAAAAAAGATAGCAAAATAGACGTTTTTTCAACGTAATGAAAGAGCTCTTGGTAAACGTAATAATTATTTGTTTATTGATGAGTTTGGCTATAACCATAATAAAAACAAAAACAAGAGAGACAAAATTGACGACTTTCTATAGTCGATGGAAGAGATCTTGATAAACGTAGATATCATTTGTTGATTGATGAGTTTGGTTACAACAATGATAAAGAAAAAAATGAGCAAAAGTGACAGTTTTCTCCAGGTTCATGAAAAAGCTTTTGATAAATGTATAAATCTTTTGCAGATGATGAGTTTGGCTATTACCATGATAAAAAAAAAAAAATAGACAGTTTTCTGTAGTCTAATGAAAGAGCTCTTGGTAAACGTAGAAATCGTTTGCAGATTAAAGAGCTTTGTTATAACCATTATAACGGAAAAATGGGCATAATTGATGGTTTCTGCAATTCGATCAAAGAGATCTTAATAAATGTAGAAATTTTTTGCTGATTGATGAGTTTGGCTAACCATGATAATAAAAAAAAAAGGAACAAAGTGACGGTTTTTTGTAACGTAATGAAAAAGGTCTTGATAAACGTAAAAATTATTTGCTCATTAATGAGTTTAGCTATAACCATGATTACAAACAAGAGAGATAAAATTAACCGGCCTTCTGAAGTCCGATTAATGATATCTTGATTAACGTACAAATCATATGTTGATTGATGAGTTTGGCTATAAAAATGATAACAAAAAAAATGAGCAAATTGACAGTTTTATGCGAGCTCATGAAAAAACTCTTGATAAACGTAGAAATCATTTATTGATGATGATTTTGGCTATATCCATGATTAAAAAAAAAAGCATGAAAGTTTTCTGCAGCCTAACGAAAGAGCTATTGATTAACTTAGAAATTTGCTGGTTGATGGTTTTGCTATAGCCATAAAAAAAAATATGAGCAAAATTGACGGTTTTCTACTGTCTAATGTAAGAGGTTTTGGTAAACGTATAAATTATTTGCTGATTGATGAGTTTGGTTATAACAATGATAACAATAAAAGAGAGCAAAATAGACAGTTTTCTACGGCATGATGAAAGAGCTATTGATAAATGTATAAATTATTTGCCGATTGATGAGTTTGGCTATAACAATGATAACCAAAAAACAGGAGAAAAATAACGATTTTTTACGTCCTGATGAAAGAGTTTTCAATAAAGGTAAAAATAATTTACTGATTGATGACTTTGGCTATAACCATGATAACAAAAAAAAAGGAGCGAAATTGACGTTTTTTGTAACGTAATGAAAGAGCTCTTGGTAAATATAAAAATGATTTGTTCATTGATGATTTTGGCTATAACCATAATAAAAAACAAGAGAGACAAATCGACAACTTTCTGTAGTCCGATGAATGACATCTTGATAAACCTAGATATCATTTGTTGATTGATGGGTTTGGTTACAACAATGATAAAAAAAAAAATGAGCAAAAGTGATAGTTTTCTGCAGGTTCATGAAAAAGCTTTTGATAAACGTATAAATCTTTTGCAGATGATGAGTTTGGCTATTACCATGATAACAAAAAAAAGAAAAAATTGACGGTTTTCTGCAGTCTAATGAAAGAGCTTTTGGTAAACGTAAAAATAATTTGCTGATTAAAAAGTTTTAGTATGACTTTTATAACGAAAAATGATCAAAATAGAAGATTTTTTGCAGCCTGATGTTAAAGTTATTGATTCGCAGAGAAATCATTTGCTAATTGATGAGTTTGTGGCAATAGCCATGATAACAAAAAAAAAAAATTGACGGTTTTCTTCTGGCTATAACAATTGTAACAATAAAAAAGAACAAAATAGATACTTTTCTATAACCTAATGAAAGATTTCTTGATAAATGTAGAAATTATTTGTTGATTTATGTGTTTGGCTATAACCATGATAACAAAAAAGTGAGCAAAATTGACGGTTTCTTGGAGCCATATGAAAGAATTGTTATTAAACGTAATAATCACTTTCTGATTTATGATTTTGGCTATAACTATAACTAGAAAAAAAAAACAAAAGGAGCAAAGTTGATGGTTTTCTGAAGTCTGATGAAAGAGTTCTTGATAAACGTATAAATCATTTACTGAAGATGAGTTTGGCTATAACAAAGATAACAAAAAAACATGAGTAAAATAACGATTTTCTGGAGTCTAATGAAAGAGCTTTTGATAAATGTAGAAATCATTTGTTGATTGATGAGTTTTTGATAATTATGTTGAATCCGGATCTCAGTATTACCATTGAGATGCTTTGTTGGTAATTACTTTTTTATTTTTTTTGTCGTCCACAATCAAAACTCTAAAATTTTCGACGGAACGTTAACTGATTCTGATGTTATAAACCGGGTGTCAGGAATCCTGAAAACGACGAAGTACCTATCGTCACATGCAAAGAGAATGCTATAAAATGATGACGTTCGTTGTTTTCTTATTGTCTTGAAATTTTTGTTTTTTGTTTTTTTTTTTTATGATTGGCATCTTATTTTCTTACCATTTATAATATTCTTTTATCTCTCATGATTTTACCGTTTATGCACGATAACTTACACCATTTGTATATATTATTACTATGGTGTTGATAATAGAGTGATATATTTTTATCCTTAAATTTCGTTAGTATATATTTCAGTTTAACTGTTGAGATTTAGTTTTTTTTTTTCTAAACTTAATTTATTAATCTTATGGATAAATTCTATATCGTTTAATCAATATTCGTTTTTGTTAATTTTCTGATTTAGTTTTTAATATATATTTTCCATTGTTATGTTCTTTCCAAATAATCGTTAGGTCTACATATACGTATCGCGCGTTTATACCTCATTGGATTGTTTAGCCGAGTAATCTTTTGATATGGGTTCTACAATGATACCTTTTACCTCTGATTCATGTGATGGTGGTTATTTTCATATTGCGTCTCTTAACCCTAACATGGGTGAGTGGTCTGTTTTGGTGAAGATTTGAATTGTTGGTCTGTTTCGCGTGGCTCGGGTAGAGAGCTCAATATGATTTTGGGTGACGAGCATGTTAGTATTTTAATAACTTACCTTCTATACATGTTTTCGATATTAAATTGAATTGTTTTTTTCTTTAACATTTCATTTGCAGTTCACCCAAATTTAAGCCGTTGTTCGTGATGAATTAATTGATAATTATTTTTCAAGATTGATAATCGATGAGTGGGTGAGCATTAAATTTTTTGATGTATCCCGGGTTAACAGCATCTTGAGACCAGTACCGCATAGATTCAAGATTGTGTTTCGTTCGGACACTTTAGTGCAAAGTATTAATATGTGCTCCAGTAGAACCTATTTCAATCTAACTGAGTTTGTGAGTATATTGAGTGGTATTGTTAACCCGAATATTTGCGTTGGTAAGCCTAATTTATGAATTTATTTGTGCTTTTGGAGTTTATTTGCGATTCATGTTCTGACTGTATTATTCATGTGTGTGTTTCATATATGTTATTGGCAAAATTCTCAACGTGAGAGAGTTGGTTTTTGTTCCTTCCATGGAACATTCTCAAGGAGGATATTTTGAGCTGTGCTTTGGTTTACGTGATACTGAGTAAGTCACTATTCTTTTAAAGATTTAAACCAGAATATAATGTCTTATGACTTCTTCAAATCTTAAAATTAAGTGTATCCATCTAGAATGTCGTTTAACATGTGACCTTGCAGTCGAGTTCTATGACTTATGGAAGCAACGTTCACGTAACACAGTGATATGTATTATCAAGTTTGTGAAATTAGAGCTATCACAGGAACATAGGTGGAGATGTACCAATGTTACCGGAAGTACGAGGATTATGTTGAATCCGGATCTCAGTATTACCGACGAGATGCTTTGTTGGTAAGTATTTTTTTTTCCGTTTACAATCAAAACTCTAAAGTTGGCGACTGGACATTCACTGTTTATGGTGTTCTTAATCGGATGTTAGGAATCCTGAAAATGACCAAGTACCGATCATAACACGGAAGGAGAATGCCATGGAGTGATGATGTTCGTTGATTTCTTATTTTGTTGGTGAATGATTTTAAAAGATGATTTATTATTATTTTTTAGCATTTATAATATTATTGAATTTTTTAAATTTCATCATTTTCCATAATTTTATCACACTAAATCCTAAACAATTTACCATATTTTTCTTACACTACCAAGTATCACCTAAACAATCCCTTATTTCACATGATTTTACCATTTATGCAGCATTCTTCCCGCGCATGCGCGCGGGCAATCACCTAGTTTATTAATGAAAACAAAATCTAAAATTCAGAAAGCATAAAACTGGTTTAACAGTTAATCTTTCTTTGGCCTATTTTTACAAGGTTGTGTAGATGTTTTTTTTTAAAAAAAAACTTTCAAATAATTTGTTTTACCTTTCTTTAAATTTTCAAGTCAATGCCGACAAAGAAAGAAAAAACAAAGAATTTCATTTCACAGAAGAAATTTTGGTGAGTATGATCAGTAGATACAAAACACCAACCACCAAGTAATAAATTCTCTTCCATTTTATGACTAAAGCACAAAAAATTAGATAAATCTGTATCAAACGTAAACTTATTGCTTTCTTGCTTCTTGTGGTTCCCCAAAACTCAAAATACTCTTTTTGTGTGTAAACAAAAATAAACGGTACTCTTTCTTCCAAGTGTTACCATGGAGAAGAGTTTCCTAAGATCTACTCTCCTTGTGACATTGACTATCTTCTTCTTCCTTCCAGTTTCAATCTCGGTTCCATTCATTCTCTTTCATGGTGATTAACAATCTTTCTTCTTCTTCCTCCTCTTTCGTTTTTTTTGATCGACACTAGCTAATTCGATATTGATTTATATAGGGATTAGAGATCAATGCTCAAATGGTGGAGTGAGCAGCTTCGTACAGCTCCTTAGCAACCTCTCTAGCTCCCCTGGATCTTGCTTGTACTGACCCAACTCCTTCTTGTTCTTGTTTTATTCTAATCTTGCAAAAAGGTTTATTGTTGTCTCTTTCTTTGTTATGTGTCATCTTGTAGAGAAATAGGAGATGGAGAGCAAGATTCGGTGACTATGCCGCTTACGCAACAAGCAAGTGTAGCGTGTGAGAAAGTTAAACAGATGAAAGAGTTGAGTCAAGGCTACAACATTGTTGCACAGTCTCAAGGAAACTTGGTAGCTAGAGGTCTAATCGAGTTTTGCGACAATGCTCCTCCGGTCTTCAACTATATATCTTTAGGAGGTCCTCACGCTGGCATATCCGATATTCCCAAGTGTAATGTGAGTTCTCTTTCCATTTCAATTTGTCTGTGTGTCTTGATCACAATCACAATAACAACAATGGGGTTCTCTGTTTGAAGTCTACGCTTTGCGAGTTGCTGAAAACAGAGGTCTACACCGACTTCGTACAAGTAAACCTTCTCTCTTCTTCTTCTCTAATCAGGATTCAGAATCTTTGAGCATTACTAATACCCATCATTAATAACAACACCACTAATCAATCTACAGGATCATATTGCTCCAAGTGGTTATATCAAGATCCCTACCGTAAACTCAAACCCTTTTCTTTCTAATCCTCATATCATTTCCTATAAGATGAATACTTCAATTGAGAAAGCATGAAACTGGTTTTCAGGATATAAAAAATTACCTGGAACACTCCAAGTATCTGCCACAGCTCAACAACGAGAGACCTAAAGAAAGGAACGCCACTTTTAAAGACCGGTTCACTAGCTTGCACAACTTGGTCCTTGTCATGGTGCATCTCTTTCTTAAACTAACCAAATCTTGAACAACATTGTTGATTAGCCTCATTAATTTTGTTTTCTTTATTTCCTAAACAGTTTGACGGTGATACAGTAGTGATTCCTAAAGAAAGTTCTTGGTTCGGATATTACCCGGATGGAGCTTCCACACCTCTTTTGTCTCCACAAGAGGTGAAACCTTGATCATCTCCATTTCATTTCTTTGCCTGATCATCAACCACTTGTTTCTAACTTTGTATTCTCCAGACAAAGCTCTATACTGAGGATTGGATTGGTCTGAAAACCTTGAATACTGCCGGAAAAGTTAAGTTTGTCAGTGTCCATGGCGAGCACCTAAGAATAGCGCAAGACGATGTTGTAAAATACGTCGCGCCTTACCTCAAGAACCAGCCTGCGTCTATGAGTGAAGATTTGGAGATACTGCATCTATGAGTGAAAGACTTCATTGTTATGCTCTCTTAGGATTAAATTAAAGGTGAAGAACTTAAGAGGCTACTTCTTCTTAATCATAAATCCAAATAATTTCATCATGTACAACGCTAGAGGCTACTTATTCTTGTTTTTCACGGTACATGAAATTTAGAAAATTCACTCGATCATTTTTATGAAATGAGGAAATTGTGCCTTAATAAATCAACCGAGCAAAACTCCTTGATAATAAGATTCAATCGAGCAAAACAATCTCACATACTTTTTTTAGCATTAACACACACTATCTATATCTCTTTATTCAAGATCAAAAACCTTTAATCACTATGCAGGATCACATTGCTCCTAGTGTAAGTTAGTTACTACGTAACCAATCAAGTCAAAATCGATTAAAACAATGGTTTGGTTTTCTAAGGAACCTTGAAAGACCGATTCACCAACTTACAAAGCTTTTAGTTTTTGTCATGGTATTGGTACTTTACTTCTTTCTTTAATTTTGAAAATCTCGGTTTATCCTAGCTCATTGATATGTCTTTCTTCTTCTTAATTTGTAATCAGTTGCAGAACGATACAATTAACAATGTTACCTAAATATGTACATTATTCACCAGACAAAAAGCTATACTGCAGAATAGAGTAGGTAGGTCTGAGCTCTGAAAGCTGGATGCTGCCGGAGAAGTCCAGTTTGCGAGTATCTTGGGAGAGTTTGTGAAACACGTTGTTCCTACTTAATGCAAGCTGGTCCGTGACGTCTTTAATATTATTAGGGTCAAATCTTCAATCAATTATTAGTTCCAAAGAATGGGTGAACATATCAAACCTATGGAAAAACGTTTTGTCAGATATTAATTTGTGTAGAGCCTACAGTATTTATATACGCACAATAATTTACCTTTTGTGTATATATAAAGGATCGAAACTACTCATACACCTCAAAACTTCTCTAATATCGATCTATTACTCTTCTCCTTTGAATCTTTAAATTCTACAGAGGTATTATATCTTCTCTATTAGTAATTTATACATCAACCATAAACCATACTTATATTGTTTAAACACACAAATAAAAGTTTTTTACACCAGTAAACCCCGTTCTATAACTTATGAAAATCACTGCCGACGAAAATGTTAAAGATATCTATCATTCCCATGAAGAATTTTAGATCAGTAAATATATTGCATACATAGTTCTCTTCCATTTGTGTGTGATAAAAGCACAAAACCATTATATTTCATACGTAAACTTGTTGCATTCCTGCTTCTTGTGGCTCCCCAAATATTAAAACACTCTGTTTTGTGTTTAAGAAAGAATCAACGGTACTCTCCCACTGAGTAGCTCCATGGAGAAGAGTTTCCAACGATCTGCTCTCCTTGTGACTTTGTCTCTCTTCTTCTTCTTCTCCATTCCGGTTTCACTCTCTGTTCCATTCGTTCTGTTTCATGGTTATTAACAATCCTTATTCTTCCTCGTATGTATCTTTTTTTCCCTTTTCTAATCGACACTAATGGATTTGATTGAAACAGGGTTTGGTGGTGAATGCTCAAATAATAAAGTTAGCAACTTAACACAGTTCCTTATCAACCACTCCGGCTACCCTGGAACTTGCGTGTACCGACACAACCCCTTCTTCTTGTTTTATCCTGATCTTGCCAAATGGTTTATAGCTGTATGTTTATGTATCATCTTGTAGAGAAATAGGAAATGGAGTGCAAGATTCCTTGTTCATGCCGCTTAGGCAACAAGCGAGTATAGCTTGTGAGAAAATTAAACAGATGAAGGAGCTGAGTGAAGGTTACAACATTGTTGCAGAGTCTCAAGGAAACTTAGTCGCTAGAGGACTAATCGAGTTTTGCGACAATGCTCCACCAGTCATCAACTATGTCTCCTTAGGAGGACCTCATGCTGGCGTCGCTGCAATCCCCAAGGGGTGTACCGTGAGTTCTCTTCCATTTCTATTTGTCTGTCTGTTTGTGTCAACCACAATCACATTCTTAATCACAATAACAACAATGGGGTTCTCTGTTTACAGTCTCCATTTTGTATGCTCCTGAAGGCAGTGTTTGCAGTGATCTACACCGACCTCGCTCAAGTAAACCTTCTACTCTTCTTTTTTCTCTAATCAGGATTTAAACCTTAAACCATGATAAATACCAATCATTTAACAACACCTATAATGACTCTGCAGGACCATACTGCTCCAAGTGGTTATGTCAAAAAACCTATGGTAAACTGAAACCCTTTTCTTTCTAATCCTCAAATATATGAAATACTTGAATCAACAAAACATTATCTGGTTTTGAAGGAAATAGCAAATTATCTGGAACACTCCAAGTATCTGCCAAAGCTAAACAACGAGAGACCTGGACCACTTTTAAAGACCGTTTCACCAGCTTGCAAAACTTGGTTCTCATCATGGTGCCTCCCTCTCTTTCTGAGACCAATAATCTTTTTCTTTTTTGGCATTTCCTAAACAGTTCAGAAATGATACAATATTGGTTCCAAGAGAAACTTCTTGGTTCGGATATTACCCGGGTGGAGCTTCATCTTCAACACCTGTTTTGCCTCCTTAAAAGGTCAACCAGGCAGAAATCATCTGTCGAATTCAATTTCTTCACCTGATCATATCATCAACCACTGGTTTCTAACTAACTGTATATATATTCTTTCTGCAGACAAAGCTCTATACTGAGGATTGGATTGGTCTGAAAACCTTGGATGATGCTGGAAAAGTGAAGTTTATTAGTGTCCCTTGCGGACACATCGAGATAGCTGAAGAAGACCTTGTTAAATACGTTGTGCCTTACCTCCAGAACGAGTCTACGTTCACTTCTGAACACGAAGCAATGTAGACATTGCAATCGTGAACCCATTTAATAAAAAAGGCCTCATCCGAAAATAAGGTCCTATATCATCAATGTAACATCATCATCTATGTATCAGTGAGATTAAAATAAAAGCTTCATCATTTATCAAAGACTAATTATCATCTTAATACAAAAAAAAAGAACAATTTCATCTCGTTATAAGCTAGAGACTTACTTAACTCGTGCTTTTATCTTATTTTAAACATGAAAAAAATAAAAAAATCAATAAAACTCGATAAGGAAATTGTGATACATAATTTTTGCTTAAGCTTTCTTCAGATCATGCAGAGTGTCCCATTGATGAACGAATTGAATCACATCCGTAATTTCATTGCCTGATATATGTCCGGAGAGTTTCTCTGGTGAAATAGACGACGACAATCACCACCATAATTTGGGCCGCTAAATTCGGCCCATTAAGTGCACACTGTTAAGACCCAATAAGATTGAAGCATTTAAAAGAACAATTTCTTCTTCTTTTTTTGGTTAAAGATTAAAACAATCTTCTCGCTGGCCTAGCTACTCCCTTTGAGATTTTGTGTGGGTAAGAAATAATATCCAACCGTCTAATTTTCAATAACCTGACGGTTCAACTTTTTTTTTTTTTTTTTTTTTTTTTTTTTTTTTTTTTTTTTACGGTTCAACTTTTTGTATATGAAAAAATTATAGAGTATTTAAATCTATTATTCTTTTGATGTTAAAAAAAGAAGAGAAATGTATGAAAAAGATCTAGCTAGTCTAACATCTGAAAATTAAAAAAAGTTTTGTTTTCCTTAAGGTGCTGGCCGCATATACTAAGATCTTGTCAACGTAAAATGAAGATGGATTCATGAAGAGAAGAGCTGACAATGTAGATTGTAGAATGGTTAAGAAGAGCTGAGTTTATCAAAAACAAATAAAAGAAGAGCTGATTTTTCTTTCCTGTTTTTTATAAAAAAAATTGTTATCATCAAGAAGACAAGAATAACTAATTTAATCAGATTAAAGTAAATTTAAAATGAAAAAGGCTTTTAAGGATACATAGCTGAGAGTCAATAATCTAAAAAGTACAATGACCCACATAACAACCCATAGAACCGGCATTAAAGTTAAGACCTAGGACGCATCACATCAAAGGTTGACGGCCCATGGGCCATTTGGAGCCATGGACTCAAAGAGACAGATCGTTGGTTGTGGTTAGATGAGGATGGTCCGGCCACACGTTCGCACGATGGACACATCAAAAGTGTGGTCGGTGGACTCATCTGACCATACAACCGCGGTGAAAGCTTTAATGCTCTTAGTTCCGCCGCCTCTTTCTCGAGCCGCCGATTCTCGTCAGTTAATTTCTCTACACATCTCTTCAAATACTCGCAATCCACTTCGGTTTGCTTCAATTTTGTCCTATTGGACACAAAAAAAATGGATTGTATTGTAAATAAAATGGTTCTTTAGGGGTAAAATAGTCAATTAATATGTAAGACTCTCTAGTTCTCTCTTACCTTGCTCTTCTGTTTTGGAACCACACTTCCACTTGTCTTGCTGTTAAACCTAGCTTCTTAGCCAAAGCCAGCTTCTGCTTCTGTTGATTTACCATAAAGCCCTTGTTAAAACAGAGTATTTACATTAATACTTTCACGCTCTAAGAAATGGATGAATGACTTACGGGATTGAGAGTATTGTGCTCTTTGAAAGTGTCTTCAAGAACTGCGGATTGATCTTTGGATAGCCTGAGCTTCTTCCGACAAGTCTCACCTCCGTAATCTTCTTCTTCATCGGAGGTTCCACGTGAGGAAGATCTATCAAGAGTGATGTCGAGGTCATCTCCGGCACCACCACCGGAGGTTCCTTCTCTCTCACTCCTCCTCTTGCCGCTCACGGTGCTCGAGATCGTACTGTTTGGAGATGAAACTCCTGTCTCCTCCTCCAAATCCACCGTCGTTGGCAAGCTGTTCACGTCGATTTTCCTAAGAGACTGTTGCTTTTGATGATCTGAAAAATGATAAAAATTAAAGGGTTATTTCAAGATCTGTTTTGTTTCTTGATGAAAAAGGTTGTTAATACTTTGTAGAAGAAGAAACGTACCTGAGGAAGAAACAAAAGTTTGGTTCCATGGAAACATCTGGAGATTGGACATTGATGAAGAAGTGGGTTTTAGATTTAGCTGAAGAGGATGGTGGTTTTGTGCAAATCCCAAGCGAAGACTTAAACCCAGATCCTCTTTTCCCATCATCATGATATACTCTCTTGGTTTTGAATGAGAATGATTTGATCTTTATCGGTAGAGATGACAAGAGAAACCTTGATCTAAAGCTGATTTTTCCTCTAAAGATCTATTTTTTATGAGTGGTGGTAAGTGTATAGAGGACAAGAGAAACCTTCTTTTAGGGTTCTTATAGAAAGAGAGATGTGAAATGTGAAATGAAAAGAGAAAGAGAGGATTAATATAGGAAGTGAATGATATGAGATGTTGTCAGGTTGGCCAATTATAATCTATAATGCCCTTTTGAAAACTCAATTATTATTATATCCCCAACTTGTTCCCTCTTTGTCTTCTCCTTTCTCTTTTTTTTTTTCTTTTTCTTTTCCTTCTTCTTCTTTTACTATTATAGTAATAAATAGTATAAGTCCTCTCTTTTGCTAACTTTCCCATAACCTCAAAGTACTTCTATATATGTATGGAATCCAAAGCTATTTTTCAAATTTAAAATTTAAATTCATATTTTCCATCTCTACTCTATTTCTTGCAAATTTGTGGACTAGGAAAAAATAAACTCTAGAATGCAAATCCATAATGACATTTATTTAGCGATAATAAGTACATAAAACTATAAACGTAATCAACTAAATAACGAATCAAGTTTTAATTATATACCTTCACATATGAAGTAACTCATGTCATGTCTTGCATATATTAGATGTACGCAGGCTTATGTTTTAATAATATCCGAGTAATTTTATTATTGCGCTAATTTGATACCATTTCGATATATATAGACGTTAGTTAAAAAGAAAAGAATTTTAGTAGGATTTATTAGTAAGAGTTGTAAATTGCTAAGTTTGTCTAACTATTATTAAACCAAAAAATCTAATATCAATAATCTCTTCCGACCATGCCAAAAAAAAATGAAGATGTGATTAGATGATTTTATTAGAGTAATTTTTTTTTTTTTTTACTTTTAAGTTCAGCTGAATAATTACTCTACTTTAAAGAAATAAACGTGAACATTTTTAGTTTTTCACTCCACCTAAAATTGGTAGTAAATTTTTCAGTTCATTTTCTCTTTCATTTTTATTTACTCTCAAATTTTACCAATCATTGGTGCAAGAACTTGTTAAGAAAAACAAAAACAAAACAACTCAATCAGTCAAGATCACACACGGATGAGAACAGAGATCGAAGAAATAGTTGGCAATTAATTGTTGAAAAAAAAATGGACTAATAAATCAAGTGGTTGGTACAAAACACAATCCACATGAATCTGAGCTCCTTCAAAGTTGTGGGCCAATCAACTGTTGTGATCCAATCATATCCATGTGGGATGTGGGATCTATCATTACAATAACACCATTTTTATTACATATGAATCCAATATTCATTGGGAAAAATGTCGTTAAAATCCCCAACTTATTCAAAACATTGATTTAAATCCTCAACTCATGACGAAACAAAATAAATATCAAACTTATGTTGACTTTCCAAATAAATATTAAACTTATGTTGATTTTCCAAATAAACACCAAACTTTCATTGACTTTTTAAATAAATATCAAACTTCCGTTGACGTGACCATATTAGGTACGACGTTAAGTGGGTTACTAAATCCTCAACTCATGACAAAACGAAATAAATATCAAACATATGTTGACTTTCCAAATAAATATCAAACTTATGTTGACTTTCCAAATAAATATCAAACTTCCGTTGACCTGGCCATATTAGGTATGACGTTAAGTGAGTTAATAGATCTCGTTAACGGAGGTAATTTTCTGTTAACATATATGTTAATTGATAACAACATTGTTTCATATAACAACAAAACGACGTCGTTTTGTCGTAACGATTGAATTAAATCCCTAAAGTCAATCTTAGATCCTCAAATCGAGCAAAATCCCTAACCCTAAATAGAGTATGATTTGAAACTCGGGATTTTATTGAACAGTTAACACAAAACAACGTCGTTTTATGTTTAGAAGGAATACTTGTTAGTGTTTTGATCAACAAACGAACTCTGTTTTAACAGAGTATGAAGAACAAAACCAAAATGAAAAATAAAGTATGAAGAAACTTGATCTTTATTTGATAAGAGAAAATGTATTACACACAATGATGTTATTGAGTTTGACTCGATCTACTTATACAACACGAAACAACGTATACGTACATGTGTTAATCGAAAAGACATAACTTTACGAACAGACACAACTATACGTACGTACATTCGTGACTCTTACGTAAATAACTAACTTATATGAATACGACTTTACGTAAATAACAGACACAACAATACTGTCATTTTTAATTAGCAGGTCTGTTAACAGAAAATTAATCCCGTTAACATTGTCTGTTAACTCACTTAACGTCATGCCTAATATGACCAAGTCAATGAAAGTTTGGTGTTTATTTGGAAAGTCAACATAAGTTTAATATTTATTTAGAAAGTCAACATAAGTTTAATATTTATTTCGTTTTATCGTGAGTTGAGGATTTAAATCAACGTTTTGAATAAGTTGAGGATTTTAATGACATTTTTCCCTATCTTCAGTTCAAACTTTTTAACTTTCTAATCAGAATTACAGAATTTTGAAGTATATATAAATCGTGTTTTACAAAATGGTGTTCTTGAAAACAAAATTTACAATTAGATTTATTTTGGATTGCTGCTAATCAGAATCATTTTTGTTTATTATTGACAAAAAAAAAAAATGTATATAAACTGCCGAAAGATGATGATCTAATAAATAAGTCTCAAATAGTTTTGGGCTCAAGAGAGAACATGGGCAGGTGGGTCATGGTCACGTGACAACAAGGGACCCGAAAACACTCGACCCGGCCGTGCGTTTTATTTTGTTTCCTCACGCGCCGACATCTTATCATTTGCACCCACGCGCCTTCATCATTTTCGCTTCGTCGTAATCATTATACGCATGATTTTTCAAATGAAATAACTCCTTCTCATTAATGATCTAAACTCTGCTCGAATTTTATACTAATAGAAAAAACATATATTCGAATTTATCAGAAATTATTTTTAAAAAATTACTAGTAGTTTATGCGTTCTAAACGAAAACATGAAATATCTACTTAGAAGCTCTATTTGAAAATGTTATTGGATTTGAACACTCACGAGTAAACGGAAAGAAAAATTGTAGAATTAATATTTCTACTTCTTCTTTTTTTTTTTTTAAATAGAAAAGATTCGACACCCGAACATCATTTGAAGGTAAGAAGTCATGACGTGTCACTCTTTAAAGTATCAAGCACTACTTGGTAGAAAAGGTATTTTTTCCTCTTTCGAAATCTAAGAGCATGATTATAGGTAGTCTCTTAGAAATTAATCTTAGCAATATTTAAGTAATAAATTTGTAAAAGTGATAGTTAAGAGATTGTATTTTTGGGTTAAGATTTTGTGTGTGTTTAATGGTAGGCTCTTAACATATGGTTCTTAGAAAAAAAATAGTAATATAAAAATAAAATAAAATTAACAATTTTATGTTTAGAAAACTTAATAATCGTTGCAAATTAAAATTTTAAATCATACATGATATGGTTTTGGTTTTGTGGAGAAAAGGAAGATATGGTTTTGGTTTATGTGTGTTTGGTTTTGTGGAGAAAAAGAAGATATGTGACAAAATAATTGGTGTTTGGTGTATTGGCACAAAGATATACAAGAGATTCATAATTACTGTTTTGTGTATTGGGACAAAGAAATAAAAGAAACAAAGTGAATTTTGGTGTAATTGGTGTTTAAAGAGTTCATAATCACATCAAACACTATTGTCTAAACATAGTATTTCAAGACTATAATAAGACATCAAAAGCGATTTGCCTTTATGATTTCATTATTGACTCCCACTTCTTTTTTTGTTTCTAAACGATTCATATGACTAGTAACTAAAAATTAGCACGAAAGTCATTTGCAGTTTGTGGAATAACACACTATATGGAACTCTTTCATGACATGACATGTATAAACCACCGTATTCTTCTCCATCTGATTCCTCTGCAACTACTTCCTTCCTCTTCTCCTCTCCCTTGGCAGCCCTTGAACAAATTCCTGCAACTTCTGTCTTTGAATACCACGCCGTAACATATGCTCAAATCATTTATAATACCAATCATTGATCCATCACCCAAAACTTACTTGAACAGAGATTTGTTTCCCTAAAACTGAAGACTTTTCATAAGAACACTGTTACAGTTTACATACATGTTTATATTCAGAGACATGATTGATCAACAAAGTGAAGAACTCTTACCTAAGATCCAATTTCGTATCTCCCACCATTCTGCAAAGTCATTTCATACACCTGAGAAGATTTTCCATTTCTCAATCTCCCACCATTAACACGATTCTCAATCCTCCTCTTACCTCCTTCTTCACCTCTCTCTATCCCCATGACACCAAATCTATTCCTCACCCTACGACCACGTAGCTTCTTCCCAATTTCTTCATCTTTTACCTCACTCACTTCACCATCAGAATCACCATCAACAACAGAGGTTGATGATAATCTACCATAAGGTTTGACACTATGAACAACACCTTTAGGAAAAAACCTAGCAGAAGGCAAATCATCAACACTCTCAAACAATTGAGGACCATCTCTATCAGTCCATAGATCAAACTATGAACCCTAATCGAGAATTAAGATGATATATAACGATCAAACTCATATATTGGTCTCCGATCAACGATTAACCAAATCAAATTCAAAGAACAGAGACTAAATTGGGATGGAACGATACAAATCGAAGAAACTGAAATAGAACCCAGAAATTTACCTTGATCACTAATTCACGATTGTGAGATTGATTTTAAGATTTTGAGAAACTGGAAACTGAATTGTGAAGAAGAAGAGGTCAATCGCGAAATCTCCTCCAAGCCAGAGAGGAGAAACGTGAAAGAGAGAAAGAGAGAGGAGGAGAAGAGAGAAAATCTTGAGCTTCTTTATTTTTTTCCGTTTCAACTTGACACGTGGTCGTCTCTTAGGATGTGTTTTGACTCTTATATAAGAAATGTTCCTTAACTTAAATCAATATCTATCATTTAATTTAAATCAAATTAAACCTAAGAATCATCTAAGAATTGCTTAAGAGCTCTGCGTTAAAAATGCTCTAATGCATATCAGCGTATACATATTCTTTTCTTTGAATGCCAAAAACAAAACATTATATTTAATCGGGAGAAATCATGGATTTTCAAAACTAATTGATAATAAGTATGTTGGTTTATTTATATCTAGCTCTTGTATACTAATACTTTAAGCCTTTAGTCTTGTCTACACTTTCCACTATGAATTTTTTAACACATGTAGTCACAGTAAATATACGTATAAAGCAAATGAAGATCCACATATAAAAACTTTAATAATACAAGTCGTATTTTCTAATGTTGTAATCATTTGAGGCGTATATATGTTTTGCTTTTATAGTAGGACTAATAATTATGAATTTAGTTAGTTATATTTGATTCGTAGCTTAATTATTCTCTACAGAATTGGCTGTAGGTTAATGTCATCATTGGGGAACTTTAAATGTTTGGACCTAACTTCCCCATTATATAGTCGAATATTATATATTCTCTAGTACATGTAATAATTCGAATGTTTAAACACTTCAAAGAAAATACTCATTGACATCGACATAATGAAGAAAGAGGCCGAAGCAATCAAACGAATGATAATTTGAATTTGACGTTTCATAACAAAGTTAAATGTTTGATTCTTGATCACTATTTTAACGCATCAAATGTTGTGAATTTATATGCATAATTATTGAGATTCTAGTACCATCATGATTACTCTTAACAAATGGTTTTGGGAATCTATGTTTTTAATTGTTTTTTTAAAATAGTTGGTGTACAAAATGAAGCTTCAAGGAATGCTTGTAATTGAGAAAAAATGAGAAAAAGGACCAACTTGGCTCGTGCGATATATCCTCCCATGTGGAACCGACGTGGCGCACACATTCCTAAGAGACCACACCACCCATGACAGCAAAGCACACGTGTGCTCGTGTCCACCCACACGTGCATGCATTCCTGGTCAAAATATTCCTATGTTCTTGGTTGTCCTCAGTCAATGGTCAAACTTCTATAATTTGAGTAAAATAGGAAGAAGTAGCCAACTCTCTCATTAGAAGAATGTGGCTTCTTCTCTTTGGGATTTTCAAAGATGGCTTAATTTAATTCTTTTTTACTAATGGTTACGGTTTATTAACCACCGGTTACGGTTATAAATTTTTTCTAACTGTAATCTTAACCACTATATATACGGTTAAAACGGTTACGGTTAAATACGGTTACGGTTACAACGGTTACGGTTAAATACGATTACGATTATTTAATTATTACGATACAGTTAATATCAAAAACAAAAGCTTGGATTTTTTTAAACATTTAGAATAAAAAATTTAATGATGATATATCAAATAATATTTATTTTATAGTATATAATATATGTGATTATATGCTTATAATATTTATAGTTAATTAGCTATTTTGTTTAGTTAAGTAAACTAATGAATAACTAAATAATTGGTCATAATTATAATGATTGAGTTATTGTCTTATTGTTCTATTCCAAACAATACTATAGAAAGGAAGTAGTGAGAATTAAGAAACGAGTGCCTGAGTATAAATAATAACTATGTAAACTATTTATGATTTGATTTATGAAAAATGAGTAATGGAGTAATGGAGTGGATTAAATTTAATAGTGGAATAATTATGTATTTAAGGTTTTAATTGCACGGTTAATTATGCGGTTAACCGTACGGTTAACTAACGGTTTTGATACGTTAACGGTTAATTAACGGTTACGGTTAATATATTTTTTAACCGTACCTAATCTATTTTTACGGTTAACGGTTACTGTTTTTAACCGTTTTATACGGTTACGGTTGAAAAATTGTCCGCTTACGGTCCGAAATACGGTTACAGTTAGCTTTTGGTCATGCCTAGGTTTCAGGTTCAGCCCCTTGGACTGGTTGATAAGCCACTAAGTAGTACTCCCTCTGTTCTTAGTTATTTGATGTTTTGAGTTTTTTACTTGTTCCACCAAGATTGATGTTTTGTAAAAACATCATCATTGTTTTTGTTTGTGACCAATAGAGAAATGTGAAAAGTAAAACTAATATTATTAAACTAAGAAAATAATAATTAAAAATATAAAAGTTATTTTTTCTTAAATTGTGTGTAAAATTCAAAACATCATTCTTTGAAAAACAGAGGAAGTAAATTACGAATTATTATGTATAAATTATTTACCTTTGCCATCAAAAAATAAAAAATATTTACTTTATACATAGTAGTAATTAGTCGTACATTTAGAGGATATTGATTTTGCACGTTTACTTTAACATTTGAGATATTTGAACCTCTCTTTTTCACTCAAATAATTTAATTAGTTGGTTAAGAAACTAAAGAAAGAAAAAGTCACCTGCAAAAAAAAATGTAACACTGACTTTCGAATATATCCAGACATAAATTTTGATTAATGAAGCCATCTAATATTTCTTCAGTTTCGTTCGTTTTGGATCTATAAGATTTGAATATTGGCTAGGCCAAAAAGTGGAATATTTCTGAATCATGTTCTCTAAAAACATTTAACAAAAAATAAAACATGTTCTCTAAAAACATATGTTATATGTTTTTCTACTTCTTACATATTTTAATTCTTCTATATATATGGCGGTGAGCTGGTGGTCATGTGGATTCATCGGTTAACCAAAAATCGTTTTGGAATATTTTCGGTTGTAATGCTAGACACGTGCACTAATATGTACGGACTCATTTAACTACTTTAAATTAATACTCCCATATAACGAATCTTAACATGACAACGTTGCTTTAAAATATTTACATTCAAGGTAAAAATGAAGTCTACTAGTTTATCTCTCCCTATGTATGCAAATATTTGATGTACCGTTTTATGGAGAAATTACAGTTACATGATTTGAAAATGGCCACACAATAAATCATTCTAAAAGTGAAATAAAGTAAAACCAAACCCATGAATTTATGCTTCTTATTAATAGTAACTTACATGCAGAGTAACATACAAAACAATTCTACATTTTTTTACGTATTAATCTTTTGTAGATTTCCACTATTTATGTGTTGTCATTACATATGTTCTTCCTCTAGTTAATAATTGACAACAAAACCATTGTTCGGCCAATCCTATCTTTTGTTGTCATTACATAACTTTGAATCGGGGCCGCCTAGTTCTCGAAGACGTGAAACTATATTATGGCTTGAGCCTTGAGATACGTCGGAAATAATTTGGATATTTTAGTAGAAACGAAGGGTAATCATGGAATTTAGCTTTAGACCCTAATTTTCCACTGGGTGACAGGGTAAGGAATCATTTTTTTTGTGCCATTGTGTGTGGTTGGTCGTTGAAGGTTTACATCTCAAGTACAACGAGGACTGTGTATGACGTGGATAAAGCAATTAATGGCACATGATATATTACCAATCACATCATTTAATTTATTAGTATCATCATCATCATTGTACAGTATTATCTTACATTCTTAATGTTAAGTTAAGAAAAGTAATATAATCGTTAATTTCTATCACAATTAGCAATCTCTATGTAAAAGACAAGCATACATAAAATGATACAAATAAATGGACATGCGATCACCTTCTGTTTGTTTTTTTTGGTTTGGATTCAATTACGTTTGAACTTTGATATCACTTTAAAAAAATAAAAAAAAAATTAAAGATTGAAACTGTATATGATACTTTTGTGGGTGTGTGTGATGTAATCGGTGAAAGTGGTTCTCGAATGAATTGGCTTTTTAGAAACAAGAGGAGCCCACTGAGAATGATACTCTTCATTGATTATTCGGCAAAGAACTACATGTAATAATGATTAAGTTTTTGAGTCGGAACTAATTTTTTAATTTTCTTAAAAAGAAACAATTAAAACCGACAAACTGACCATTTGGCTTCGCTGTAGAAGAGCATAAATGGTGAGAGTCAAATGATTGTGGACTAGAATCATTACGTGATGAAACATAAAAGGCCTAAGATAACCAATGATAATATGCCCTAACCCCTAAATAATAATTCCCATTATAGTAATAATGAGAAGAGTTCATAATTAATGGAACAAACCTTCTTCAAAGTAAGCACGCTCTTGTAAATATAATACTACTAAACACAAGAAATCACATTTCCTAATTAAAAAAGATAGAGAAGTCATAAGTGGTGTATAGGGCCTTTAAGATTTGAAATACTGAATGTTAGCCCATTTAGCTTATTGGGGTTTAGGTACTCCATTCTCATATTAGGACTTCAAGGCTTGAAATGCAAATTTATCACATGCATATGAACAGTGAGCAATTTTCTTTTTGCAGATTTTTTTGGTTGTTGTTAAGTGGGTATGCAGATTTTTTGTACACAGAGGAAACAACTGTGATTAATATAACCTGCGAAAAAGCAAATACTACTACAACCTCTTGAACTATAACTATTTTTAGCCGTGGGGTCATTTTTTTATTTTACAAATTGAATGATTATGAAAATATATAATCTGCATACCCACAGATTTTAGTTAGATAAAATGTTGAAAACAGTTTCATCATTTTATTTTGCTACATGATCGATCGATCAGAGCTGTTCCTCTTCAACAATGTTACTTATCGGAGCCATTAAATAAGTTTGTACTTCAAACAAACTTGTATGGATCTTAATACACTTTCTAACTATGTGTTAATAAGTGGTATAAATGGTTTAATAAATCATTTTCTGTGCTAATAAGAGTTATAAATGGTTTAACAAACTCACTTTTTAACATAGATTATGTTGTTTTGCTCTACCATTATATTAAACTTCGACGCATCTTACTAACCGATTTTCTGCATTTCATCATCAGTAACTCAAAAACAAACCCCTCTCGCTCTCTTTTCTTTATATATCTATAATTATATGAACTTACCGATATTTACTTATAATTTAGTTACTACTAAGTTTGATATGAGACAAGAACATGTCTCTTGATATATCTCCTTCCTATCTTCTACTGTGGTGTATCTGGATTCTTGATCACCAGCATACCTATCTACCCTGCAACAAACCAGAAACAATGTCCCAACTACTTAAGCACAAACCTCAAAATGATCAAGCAATGCTATAACAAAAAAAACGCCACCATATCCATGAAAATGATAAGTTTCAATTAGGAAGATGACTTCACCTTTTTCCTTCACCAAAAGACTCCTTTGCATCGATCATCACTGCAAAAGGAATACAATCGCTGTTACGGGTACTGTATCATTGAAGCAGTAGTACCATTAGATTATGTAAAGCTAATTAGCTCCCCAAATGTATCTTTGTACGCAACATAGTACGAAAATTGATATATCTTCTGTAATAGCACTAAAGGTCTGGACTTTAGTCCATTTCACACTAGCTACCGATCAATGTAGCAAAAGGGTAGGTTGATCCACGCTTTAATCGAGCAAGTAAGTGAAATTGATCAAAGCTAACCTTAGCCGGAGAAGTGGATACTCTGAAGCAATCAGCATTCATCCCAACGAGACACAATCCAGGGAAAATGACCTACAATGGCAGACATATGAATTGCCAAGAAATGTAGAGACAAAAAAAAAGTAATCTCGTTCGAAATTCTCTGTGAGGCAATTCGTCGAACACCTGGTGACTTACATCGAGATATTTCTGCAAAGCTTTTGCCCTCTTTCTTGGCCGGCGAGATGGCCTGTTCCCACTCATGCTGAACAAATCTTCTTCGATCTCGTCTCGTGAAAGAGCAACCCAAAGCCTGCGATTCTCGTTCGCTACCTCACCACCGCCTAATCCGGGAGATTCCGCCGGGATTCCTCTCTGCCTGTTCGATTTCGGCTCCATTCCTCCGCTTGATTTCTGATTCTTCACCTCCGAACCCCCTCCTCCTCCTCCGCCACCGCACACCTCCGCCGCTAATACGCCGTTTCCTTTCTTCAAACCACCAAAAGCCTTTCTCGGACGAAGATTCCAAGTCCTCTTCGCTTCCTCCTCCTCCGTTTCTTCTCTCTCCTTCACCGACACCGGAACTTCCTCTCTCGTCGGAGAAATCTCATCGGATTTCAGCTTCTTCAAGTAATCGTGCTCTGATGACGGAGCAAAGGAGGAGAAAGAGAGACGCGGCTGACGACTTGACCGTGACGCCACGACACGGTTAGAAACAGCCACCGTCTCCGCCGATTGAGAAGCAGACCTCTCCGACTTGGAATTAGCAGACATTGGGATGAGATTATACCGAAACCTATTCACCTGAGAGATGATCAAAAACCCTAGAAAGCAAAAAGCAGAGAGGAGAGAGAGACAGAGAGAGATGAAGAAGATTTACGGAAGCTGATGCATGCGTAAGTTTCTAATTATGTTTTATTTGTTTTTCTTTGATTCTTCTTTCTTTACAAGTCTTTCTTCTCTGAATTTAATTGTTGTTATTGGACTTTTTCTTACCCATTTTTCAAGTATTCTTAGACTTCCAATTTACCAAATTTATAAAATATAATATTTATACGTGAATGCTAGGACAAATAAATTATGAAAAAAACAAAAACAAAGAGAATTAATCGAATTTTCAGTGAGTATTATTATTTTTTGTTATTAGAACGGTGGAATTAATCAAATTTAAAAAATCCTTTTATAGGCTTAAAGATTAATCAAATCAAATCAAAGTTGCCATGCCATGCCACTTAGAACCCATTTTGTTATTATTATTAAAGTATAATTTTATTAAACAACCTTTGACGAGGGTGATTGGAAAAGCGTAGAAATACACCGGGAAACGTTACAAAATAATCAGAAAGCTGTAAAAACTACAACGAAAACTAGAGTCATCAGATTATAGGTGAACCAAAACCAGTATGAAGATGTGTACTAAGATGTGGCTTCCGTAGAGTGCTAGGGTATTTGTCTTTATCAAATCATTGAAAACACTAGTGTATTTATGAATCAAACTGTTGTTGCAACTTACAAGCTTTTAAGTTTATTACATCATCAATAATACCATGAATGTAAACGATTTTGAAAAATGTTAATTTCTTCTCTATTGTTCGATTTTGGGCTAAGATGTAGCGAAAGCCCATCAAAGAATATTGGTTAGGCCGAAAATAGTGATACGCATCGTTTTGGCATCGTCGAGAAAAAAAACTAGACGCGTCTCAAAAATCTCTGAGCAAAAAGCTTGTTCAATCCCAGCAGATCAAGCCCGCGTCCATGGCCGAACAGGAAGAAGCAAACCAACAAATCTGCGATATTTGTTTGCTCCGTTTCTCTACTTGTTGTTTTCTTCGTCGTGTTCGTCTTCTTCATTACTTACCCCGAGATACCCAAGTCCCTCCCTGTTCTCGATCTCTGCATTTTCTGGATCCGTCCAATTCCCGATCAGAGATACTAACTCGAACTCTTCTAGGTCAGAAGTTTCTCTGGTACGCTCCTCACTGTGGATACAGCAATCAGCTATCGGAATTTAAGAATGCGGTTCTTATGGCGGGAATTCTTAATCGGACCCTAATTTTTCCTCCGATTCTGGATCCTAAATTTTTGGGTTTTGAACCTCAGCGAGATACGAATCTCTGTTTGAGGAGGAAAATCTCTTTTTTCGTTATGGGTTTTAGTAAAATTAATCATTGTGGCTCAAGAATTTTGGTGTCTCGATGGCTGATATTGATCTCAGGTACTTCGCTTCACTACTGTGTGCAATGTGCAGCTGTTTGCAGCTGTGCGTCATTGAATTCTGTTGGTACTGCAGGATCTTCAATAGCTGATAGTGTGGAGATGATGAGGAAATACAATGCTTGTAGTAGTAGTTGAACTCAGACTGCATTTCTATGATTCTTGTTTCCAGATTGGATTCATCTGCTGGATGAGCCAATGTGGAGTGATTTGATCAAGTTTTGCTGTTCTTTGTATAGAGATAGATCTGTCATCTGTCTCCACTTGAGTCTGGATAGTGTGGCTATTTGTTATCTGGAGTTCGTGGTAATCTAGATAAATGTTTGTATGCTGTTGATGAAGATTGTAGAACCACAGTTTGGACGTATAAAAACCGACATTTGTTCCAGCCCGATGAGAAGGCGCCTTCACGTGTATAAGACTATTGGACATGGTACAGCAGCCGAGTCTGCACTCTGCAGAAACCATTAAGGCACCGTTTCTTTGTGCACAGCTTAGACTGCTAGATGGCCAGTTCAAGAATCATATGAACCAGAAGTTGGAATCTTTGAGCTTGAAGAATCCTGGTCCAGTTCATGTGTTTGTAACGTACTGACCTTCCTGAAAGCAACTGGACTGAAACTTACTTGGGTGATTTGTCTAAGAACTCTACACATTTCCTGAGGGAACAAGATGAACTATTAGTGCAAACACAACAGGAACTTGCTTCCGCCTGTCACGGCCATTTTCTTCTCCCAAGTGATGAACATCAAGTTCTTGGTATTATCCTTCTATATTTCTTTATCTCGATAACAGAGTTACTCTCTATATGTGAATATAATCTTTTAGGCTCTAGCTTTGTGTCCATGAGTGCGCTTCTACACCAGTCTCATTTTTATTAGAAGCATTCCCGTGTTTTTGCCTTGCACAGAATAAGTCGAGTGAATTTAGGGTTTAAGGATTTATGGCGTTATATGATCTACTCGTTGAATGTTGTCACCATCGTGCTGATTTTACTGCCTCTTGCAGATATGTCAAGTTCAGGTCTATTCATTTTTCTGCTGATAATCCATTTTTCCTGTAGGTTTATTCATATGTATACCTACCTCCAAACTTTCATCATTCCTTGGACTGTGTTGAGTCGCATGTCTGCAACATTTGTTGCCTTCGAGCAGAGTCCTATCCCGTATTATGACAAGAAATTTTTGGTCTGTTACGCTGTTTGGTGGGAGATAACATCAAGTCTTGGGATAAGGTGCTTTGTCAAGCGGAGTTTGCGCATAATCGGGCTGTGAATCGTAGTACCGGTTTTAGTCCTTTTCAGGTGATTTATGGCTGATTGCCACGATGTCCTTCTGACCTCAATCTTGCTCCTGATCGCACTAGATTTCTTGGTCGTGCTTGTGACTTTGTCGACGAATTTGCTTCCATTCATCAACAAGTTCATGCTAATTTGGAATCTTCCACGACTACATACAAGGCGGCTGCAGATGTGACGTTGATCGACGTGACGTTGATTTCAAAGTTGGCGATTTGGTATGGGGGGTTGTAACTAAAGATCGTTTTAAGCCGGGTACGTTCAATAAGGTCAAAGCGCGAAAGATCTGTCCACTTGAGATCCTCGAGAAGATTAACAACAGTGCTTATCGTCTTCGTCTTCCTCCACACATGCGCACGGCTGATGTGTTCAATGTCAAGCATTTGGTTCTTTATATTGCTAGTGCCTAGTGATGATGCGGAAAATTCAGGGACGAATTGTCTTCTTACCCCGGGCGACCTGATGTACCTTCCTTTTTCCTTTTAAGTCTTCTACTGTACAATTTCTTCTTTATTCTTGGGCTTTCGTTTATGATGTTAATTATGTTGGTTATTTGTTGCTTTGGGCCCAAGTCTCGACTAGGGTTTTATTATTTAGCTGGTATAAATACTCTTAACCTTGTAAGAGATACTGTGGTTGTTTTTGAATAAGAAAACAGAGAAGCTTTCTCTATCTCAAGTCTTTGAATTCTCCTCTTCTTGATCCATTGATATTAGAGAAGACGGAGAACTCTTAGCTAAGTAACTCCTCTTCTCATCAAGTTCTTAGGATTATCCTTGTTTTCCTTCATCTGGAAGGTATGTGAATATAATCTTTTAGGCACTAGCTTTATATATGTCTAGATTTTAACTCATGAGAAGAAGGCAATCTTGCTTTTATAAGAGAAGTAAGCAAACCAACAAATCCGTAATCAAACAGTTGTGAACTTAATAGATAGAAGGCTACAAATTGCATCCCTAATGTTTGATAACAGAAAGACCAAACCACTCATAAGCATATTCAACTACTCAAAGAAGACGAGAGGGTTACTTACTACTAGGATATTTTTTCTTCAAATTTCCAAACCTTGGAATTGAGCTGCAATTGCCTCTGCAACCAACTTGTTGGTTTTCTTCTTCTTCTTCTTCGTCTGGATTGTCACCCTCGTACTGACTCTAGATTCTGCATTATTCTTCTTCTTCTTCAGGATTGTGTTCCTTGTACTGACTCTTGATTCTGAATCTGAGTCTGAATCTCCTCGGTTATTTATATTCCGAATAAGCTCAGGTCTCCCTTTCACAAAGTCATCGTCTGCAAATTCCCATAGCTCAGAATCAACTTTCTTAATGCCCTACAACAGAAAACCAAGTCTTAATCCAAGCAAAAATTGATCTTTGCAAATACATAGATACACACATACATACTAGAGCACAACAACTTACATAATCATTAAGCGTCCGGGTGAATAATGGGAAATGATGGTGTCCGAAGCATCTGTGAAGGAGATCTTTGGAAAACTCCGATGGATTCCAAACGATGAAACTCTTGCCGCTTTGGCTCCACGAGATGATTGAATCTGTTGAAGGATCATCTACTACCTCATATGTGCGGTCCAGACAAGTAACGAATGGGCGTCTCAATGAAACCGAACCCTTCACCTTAGTCTTACCCATGGCAGGAAATTTCGAAACCCTAAGATCTCTGATTCAGGGATATAGCCTAATCTCTTTGTTATTTTTTCTTTTCTAGTCGATGTGGGACTTATACCAGTCGCGTGATTTGTTGGACTCAATATCAGCCGCAGGATCCTGGGAAAATATTACACGCGTCACTCAGCCATCTTATTTTTCCCAAATGTTCTCCTTATTCGCCGGAGCCCGAGGTCGATCCCGTGAGTTTGAATTTGCCGGTGAGTTTATCTTCTTTACCAGCCTTTCCCTTTAATTCTTACGATTAGGGAGCAGCTAACAATAACTTTCCCCCAGCTTTACAGCCCTAGAATTTTTCGAATTTTGACAGTTTAGTTGAAATTGAAGTTTTTTTTTTTTTTTAGGTATTGAGGGTAATGATAACGAAGATGAATCGTTAAGCATTAACCAGAATCGGATAACTCTTGTTGGGAGAATGTACTTGACATTTTGTTGTTTGATTGGAATAAGGAAGAAAATGTTTTTCAATTATATCAGGTTACATTTTTTACTGTTTTTTGGGTTTCATGTTTCTTTTATAATGAATATTGTGTTAGGAAATCCATGGACACAACAAGAGGAGCGTAGTATGTTCTTGTTGTGTTTACATATGCTGGGAGAAGGCGATTGGCGAGGTAGGTATCTCCAGGAACTATGTGACAACGACTCAATTTGCTCACAAGGACTTCATCAGGCAATTCAAGATGCGATCTACTCTCTTTGATATGGTTCCTTATGAGGTAAGTTCTCATTGATCCAGTTGCCCGAGTATTTGTGGATATGGCCACTTACACAGTGTAGCTTATGGGTCTACAGTTACAAAATATATAGTTTTGTGTGTTTCGGTTATTAATCTTATGCGCTAATTTCCATTTCCTTTGCAGGTAACAGAGGTTATGATGGAGTCTCATGAACTGCAAGCCGAGAACGATAGTCGCTTGGAGACACAAATGCATGGCACTGACTCTGTTCCAGAACCATCAATCTTGGAACCGATGAGTGTGAATCCATAAACTCCACCAACTCTAGTGTCGAGGAGCCACCACCTGGAACTCGAGGTATCTTGAATTTCCGGGAACAAGTAAACAAAATCATAATCCATCTTAGACTTTACTCAGGATTTGAGATTTTCCCATTGTTGTGCCTAAGCTTTTCTCAGGACACGTAGAGTTACTGAAGAGTGAGCTGTGTGACGTCATTGTTGGGTCTTCTCCAAATATGACTCATCATCAGTTTCTGATGGACATTATCACTTATCCAAAACCACATAATGTTCTTATTGAAAAAGGTACATTTTAATCCCAAATTACACCCCATTAATGTAATGGAGTCTGTATTGCGAGTTCATACTATGTATATGTTTCTCTGTGATGTAGGTGCCTGATATAATTGATAGCGCATATGTTATAATTGAATTTAGCAATGGATGTCGTGGGATGCTCGATCTTTGTATGTTTCCTTAAGGAAGCAAAAACGAGCAAGAAATATTTGTTACCAGTGACATTGGAAAGGTGAGTTCCTCAAATATCTGTTACCGGATAAGTGTTTCTTCAAGCGGTTGACAAGAATTTTGGAGATTATTTTGTAGCTTACATTACACAGAGCGATCAGACGAAAATCCGACATTGATGTAGGCGCTTCAATCTTAGGTAGGAGACAATCTATAGGCTTTGGATCCTGGCTCGATTCCAAGGTGCACTAGTGATTGTGATCTATCATCCAACTTCTTGAGATTAGCAGCATCAATCTTTGAGTAATCTAGACAACCAAAAACTCTTAGGTGCTCTATATTCGGTTTCTTCTCCCGCAAGCATTCATAAGGAGTCATGTTGTCAAGGGCTTTTGTTGATATCCGATTGATGACATAAGTAGCATGACGTACCGCTTCTCCCCAAAGATAGTTAGGTACCTTCATTGCCTTGAGCATACTTCTCGTCATCTCCATCAACGTCCTATTTCTTTTTCGACCACACCATTTTGTTGTGGTGTATAAGGAGCTGTTAGATGTCTTTTGATACCACTTGTATCACAAAAATCATTAAACTCCTTTGATGTGAATTCTCCTCCTCTATCGGTTCTTAGAGTCATGATCTCCTTCCCAAGATCCTTCTCCACAACACTCTCAATCGTCTTGAATCTACCAAAAGCTTCACTCTTCTCTTTTAACAAGATAGTCCACATGTATCTTGAAAAATCATCAATAATAACAAATATGTATTTGTTATGTTTGATGGTAGATGGTGTTATGGGACCACATAGATCAGCAAGGATTAACTCTAATGGTTTGGTTGCTCGGAACATAGTCGCCTTCGGAAAAGCTTGACGAGTCTGTTTCCCTACCAAACATGATTCACACAACTTCTTCTCTTCATTCACTTCTGGCAGTCCGTGAACAATTCCTTGCTGGAACATCGTCTCGACTGTTTTAAAGCTGACATGACCCAACCTTCCATGCCACTTCCAAGTGTCGTCTTCTACCATTGTGTGTAGACATATATAGGTTTTCCAATCTTAAGACCTATCTTGTAAAGTCGATTTGGTGATCGCGTGACTTTTACCAAGAGCCTCTTGCTCGGATCATGAACCGTTAAGTAGTCTTGTCTCATCTGTACATCACACCCAACCTCTGTAGCTTGTCCTAAGCTTAGAATGTTGCTCTTAAGATCTGGAATGTAGTAGATATCTCCGACAAGAATCTGCTTATCTGTTTTACTTTGAAATAGAATTGACCCCTTCCCTTCTATTTCTACACACGAACCATCTCCAAACTTTACCTTTCCTTTGATGTTCTCGTTAAGATTGGAGAAGTAACTCTTATTCCCTGTCATATGATTACTTGCTCCATTATCAAGATACCATATACCGTCTTCACCTTTGTAATTCTTCGGTATGAGTTTATCTTCGTTTAAGAATACAACTTCATGCATATAAAGTGCTTGATCGGCTACTTCCGTCTCCACTTTATTTGCTTCTCGATTCTTTTGTATTCTTTCAGGGCATGAGGAAGCAAAGTGGCCAGACGTGTCGCATCTATAACAAATTACCTTTGATAAATCCTTCTTTTCTTTTCCTTGATTTTGATCATTGTAATTTGCTGTCCGTTCTTGCGAGTTGAATCTTCCCCTTCCTCGTCCTCTGAAACCTCTGCCTCCTCTTCCACGACCTCTCCCTCGTGAAGGTACAAAGCTCTGTTGCTCTGAGTTTGCGTACAACAGCTTGCCTTGTGTTTCTCCGTGATTCTCCTCATCGAGAATACGCTCTTCATAGGCCTTGAGTCTTCCTACGATATCTTCAAATCCTGTTGCGTTTAAGTCTAGCACTTGCTTGAGAGAAGCTATGATCTGAATATACTTGTTTCTTGGGAGACTATTTAGAAACTTCTTCACAAGTTTCTGATCTTCAATTGTTTCTCCAAGAGTGCCTGCTTTCGATGCTAGCTCCGATAGCCTTCCCGCAAAGCTATCGACTATGTCCGTGTCTCTCATCTTCATCCTTTCAAACTCTGACATTAGGGTTTGGAGTCTTGCTTCTTAAACACGTTCAGCCCCCATGTGACGTGTTTTGATTGCTTCCCAAATCCTTTTTGGAGAATCAAGCTTGCCTACTTGCAATATAAGAGCCTTCGGAATCGATTGGAAGATCAATCCTATTGCGATATCATTTTTGTCGGGATTAGTCGAACCAGGATCAATAGTTTCCCAAACCTTATGAATTCGCAGCATGTTTCTCATCCTCATAACCCAAACCGCATAGTTTGTTAGACTTAATATCGGACATTGTAGCGACGAAGGAATAGCTTCCTTACGTGTGGTGTTGGTGGCGACGATAGCGTCGTCATCGGCCATGGCTTGGTGAGGACTCTTTCTTCACCGTAAAACCTATAGCTCTGATACCAAATATAGTTTTGATAAGCTTTATTAAGTTTAGAAAATCTCTAAAAACTAAACTCCAAAACTCATACCTTTGATCACAACTCAATCAAGGTATTTATACAAGCACAAATTTGCTAGTTTCCATTCCTAATCCTACTTGTAATTGGAAAACTACTCTTTTCCTATTACTACTTGAATTAGACAATTTCCTTTTAGCCTATCATGTCTTTAACCGACTTGCTAAAGACTTCTTGGGCCGCAAGCTATGTTCAATGTTGAAGCTTATCTCCAACAGGGATTGGTATCCGCTTGCTTGAAGATTTTGAGATTGTGTTCATGCTGAAACCAATTTGTAATTTCTTCACGAATGCCAGTTTTTTGTGGGTTGCATGGCTAAATGGTAATGTCTTTGCAAGGAAGAGCTTTTGGCTAACTGAGACATCAAACCATTTCTGAAGGCCAGTCAAAAGTATGCTTCAGCTAAAGGACAACTCTCCTTGATTTTCTGCACTGTGAGCTTGGCGATGGTAAGTTTGTTTCTTATTGGTTTGATTCATGGACTGATTTGGGACCTCTCATATCATATCTCGGAGAAGAGGGGCTCAGACAACTTCGGATCCGCAAAGATGCTTGTCTAGTTGAGGCAACCCGAAATGGTTCATAGTTCATGCCGGGTGCGAGATCCGAGGAACCACAGAATCTCTTAATCCACCTCACAGCCACTACTCCACCAAATGAGTCTAGTGGCCGTGATCAGTATCTCTGGCGTACAGCAGTAGGATCCTCTTCACTAGCTTTCTCCTCCAAAGCAAAATGGGAGCAGCTTCGTGTTCGACCTCCTCTGCTTCCTTGGACCAAAGTAGTTCCACGCTACTCCTTCTTCACTTGGCTGGCAATTAAGAAATTGGGGCTTGTCTGTTCCAATATCTTGTGTCCTCTGTGGAACTGAGAATCACAACCATCTCATTTTTGAATGTCAATCTACAGTTTGGCAGAGGTTTTGGCTTCTCAATCTCGCTCTCCATCTCTTCTTCTTCTTCTTTGTAATTTTTTTCTGTCTTCTTCCTCCAGTTCTTTGTTTGGGTATAACTTTTTTTAATTGGGTACATTCAGTTGCATTTATTTTTCTTTAAAGAGTAAAAAATCTGTGGAAGCCCCCTTGGCCCATTGGTTGACCAAGGGTTAATTAATGCTTCTACACCAAGAGGTCTGGGGTTCGAGTCCCAAATATTGCGATTTATTAATAAATTTGCAGATTAAATGAGGCAAGTGTGCAAGAGATCTCCAGCGAAGTACAATTATAGCCGTTCGCCAGGATTCTACGCAGAGAGAGAAGTGTCGTTAGGTCGTGGATCATTGAAGGTGTCCGTCAAGAGCATGGAGAAAGAAGTGTCGTCTGTCGTGGATCTAATAAGGGTCGGAAGGAATTGTCCGTTGTAGAATCGTCTATGTAACAGTTCTCATAATTTGCAATAAATAATAAATCTAGACGTCAAAAAAAAAAAGAGTAAAAAATCTTAACATTAAACGAAAAAAAAAAAACGTAGGCCAAAGTTTCTACGTCCATACAATAAAATAGGTGGGCTTTGTGTGAAGTAATGGAAAATTGTGAAAGCCCAAACAAATTGGCCCAAAGCGAAAAAGAAAAGCTGGTCTCCTTTTTAGGGTTATCAGTTATATCACTGCAGCGGAGCGAAACCACGACGACGACGATCTGATTAATCCCGAAAAATCCAGCAAGGTAGTTGTTCTGATTTGCTTGATTTTGTTTGTTACCTGATTGCTTGCTCCATTATTTATTGTGGATAGAAAAATCACATCTCTCTGTTGTTTGTTTGTTGATAGAGATATTATGGATTATGGAAGAAACGTGATCTCTGATTTCCTGAAGAAAGCGTATGAGTTGGTGGATGATCCATCAACGGATTCTATAATCTCTTGGTCTCCCAACGGTTTGTCTTTCGTGGTTTTGAAGCCGCTCGAGTGTTCCAGAGATCTTCTTACCCGCCGCTTACAAATCACCAACTTCTCACCATTTCAATCATATGTAAGTACCAAGTCTCTTTACGTTACTCATTCTTTGGCCAATTCAATGAAAAAAAGATTGTGATGTTTTTTGTTCTACTTAGGGATTTAGAAAGATTGATATTTCGCCTGGACAAGAATTGGAATTCGCGTGCGATGATTTTGTGAGAGGCAAGCCTGAGCTTTTGGACAAGATTGCCCAACGCTATCTGGCAAGGTTGAAAGCATATCATGATAGCAAATATGGGGAACTAGACAAACGACTGAAAAGTGCCACTACCAGGGAGGAGTATGAGTTAGCCATCAAGGAGCACAGGGAGAAATGGGAAAGGGAGAGCAGGGACAGAAAGGCGAGAACGAGGGTCACATCAACTATACCGTATCAAGATTTCGCTTTTGGAAGAAACGACATCTTTGATTTCCTCAAGAAAGCGTATGCGTTGGTGGATGATCCTTCAACGGATTCTATTGTCTCATGGGCGCCCAATGGTTTGTCTTTCGTAGTTTGGCAACCGCTGGAGTTTACTAAAGACCTTCTTCCCCGACACTTGCAAATCACCCACTTCGCAAAATTTCATACATATGTAAGTCAAGTTTTTTTTTTTACATTATACATATATGTATGTATGTACCAATTCAGTGAGAAAACTTATCTTGTTACATGTTTTTGTTCTACTTAGGGATTTAGTAAGCTTGTTATATCGTCTGGACAACAATTGGAATTCATGTGCAATGATTTTGTGAGAGGCAAGCCTGAGCTTTTGGACAAGATTGCCCAACGCTATGTGGCAAGGATGAAAGATACGGAACTTTGGAAAATAGATGAAAGACTGGAAAATGCCACTTCCAAGGAAGAGTATGATTTAGCCATGAAGGACAAGGAGGAGATGTTTGCCAGGAAGAGCAAGGAGAGAAAGGCGATAATGGCCACAAGGAGGAAATCAACATAATCTTCCAGCGCGACGTCTCGAGGTGCAAGTGTAGCATCTTGGAATCTCAAATATCTATCCTTATGAATAAAATCATGTATCTATCTATCTCTTCTTTATTGCACAACTTTCTTATTTTATCTCTGAATTTCGCTACTATTTGGTCTCTGGATTCTGTTTCATTTGTTCCTCTACACGATTCTGTTAGGATTCTTATACGAAAGCCTCGATTGAAAATTGCTTTTAAAGTCAGAGTTTGAGATACAATCCGAAACAACAAGTTCAGTGGAGCAAGAAAATAGATAGACAAGATTCCGTTACGATGATTTTAGTACATGAATATGAAGATCGAAATTAAAAAATCCATTTTTATCGACTCAAAGGCTAACAATGGGGTTCTGAAGAGTAGAGCAAAACCATTCACAATGTTATTACTTCGAAACTCATATATTAATTCGTTTCACCGCCGGCACTCTTTGATTAGCTTCGCCGTATAGTGTATTGATTCGATTACTGGAGGTCATTCGTTTATCATTAACGATTTCTTTTATACTCTTTAGTTTTTTTATAAATCTGTAGTTCAGAGGGTGAAACCTTCTTTTTCTGAGAGTCAAGAACAAAAAACGATAAGATGGCAAATGATATCAACAACTGAGATGGAGGACATTGGTCGTATTGCCCCCGGAGAAGAGATTAAGATAAACTTTGAGACAAATTTGTTGACATTCTAATAAATTTGATTTTGTTACTTATTGGAAAAATAAGCCAGGCCTATCTACAAACTGATTGTATCGTACGGCTTCTTATATATACGAAAAGCCTAGGTTTTACTCTGTCTATTGCCCTACGAAACACATACATTACTGGTTTCTTGGATCTCAAGCAAGTGATTAGTATGTATCGAACTATCCTACCACTTACTTTTAAAAGGCCTGCTTGTCACAGGCCCAGTAACTCGGGTGACATTTGAATAAACATGATAGAAACCAAAAAGAATTCGATTAGGATCGGTTGAAGAAATGAAAAACCGAGAAAAGTCTATTGATTTGTCTTTTTTTTTTTAATTGTTTTGAATTATTAGAGTAATACAAATATGGGGCTTTTGCAAAAATGCCACTTTTCAAAAATACCCATTTTTTAAAACCTTATAAAAAATGCTCTTAAAAATATAAGACTTACCCAAATATGTATGTAATATTATTAAAACATACACAAACTACATTTTTATGTATCTAAAATCTTATAAATACTTTATAAATACCTTATATATGCATTTTAAATACCTTTAAAAACCTTTAAAATATCTTGTAAAACCTTAAAAATCCTTTAAAATAACTTGTAAAACCTTTAAAAACACCTTATAAAACCTTATAAATACTTGGATCGAGTCTTCAAGTAGTAGTTACAATCCATAAGTACCTTATAAATCTAATAAAACTTTATAAAAATTTCAGATTTAAAAAGGGGCATTTTTGAAAATGGACATCTAAAAGGGGCATTTTTGAAAAAGGGCACACCAAAAGGGGTATTTTTAACAATTTCCCTACAAAGATATTAATATATTATGATTTGAATTTTTATAAACAAATATGCACCACTCAATTAATGAAAAAAGTGTGTTCAACATCCTACTTTGGCTAAAATGTTCAGAAAATGATTCAGAATTATATATTATAAATAAGATAAAAATAAATCCAAATCTAAATGAACATGAAGTTTAACTTAACAATCATTTAAATTTAAAAGTTTGTATACGTTTTAAATTCAGTTTTTTAGTTGAACTATTAATTTTACCGGATATAGTAAATTTTAAAATTTCAAAAGTTTTAAATATTATAATTGATATATTTAAACTGAATAAAAATTTAAATATTATGAATATATTTAAACATTCAAAAAGTTAAAAATAACACGGGACAAATTATATCACAGAACAGTTTATATAGCTGATGAGTTTGAATCCATAATATAAAAATGTAAAATATAATTAATCCGACGCTTCAATACAGATTAATATGTTCCAAATGCTAATGAACTAAGCAATAAAATGTTTAGTGTAATATTTAAATTGGTATTATTGAATTAGGACATCTATTGTCTCTTTGGGACACAAGCAAGTGTTAGCCATAAAAATAGTCGAGTAAAGTAAAGTAAACATACCGATATGATTAGGCCTAGACATTCGATTCTTACGAATAATTCGGGTAAAAAGTTGAGGATCGAAACCGGAAAAAATTCGATTAGGATCGGTTTGGTTGAACAAATAAACAAAAATGGGACAAAGTATTTCACCTAACACCACTGTCATTCTTACGTGAAATAAGATTCTCATCAACAATTGTAATTTTAATATCTTCAAATTTTTATGTTTAGTTTGGATATTGTGTTGGTAAGGTGATGGTAATTTGGGTGTTTTATCTTTATAAGATATTTATGTAGCAAATGAACTAAAAAATTGCATTTTCTTCAAATAAACTTTTGAAAACCTAATGTATTAATTTCCTCTTAAATTTTCCTATAAGACAAATTAAATAAATAAAATTACGAAACTAATTTGAATAATCTTCTATTAATTACATTTATAAATTTTATGAATATGGTCAACAAATTGTTTGAACCGACCCTCATAGAATATCCTTTGAAATTGTGACTTGTGATAATTAACAAATATCACTAAGAATATCATATTCTAGAAATATCATCATAAGAACTTTTTTTTCTCATTTTATAACTAATAGATGCTCTATATATTTTTGCTCAAAAAAAAAAAAAAAACTAATAGATGCTCTATATATTTTTGCTCAAAAAAAAAAAAAAAAAAAAAAAAAAAAAAAAAAAAAAAGATGCTCTATATTTCAAACAAAATTGTTTTAAACCAAAACATAATGAATTGTGCAAATATATCGGTGTATGATAGAGCGGAAACAATAATAATCAGCTCAACCAAATGATTCATCACAAGAATCTTTGTTTGGGACTTGTCAACTCAATAAAAAAAATCGAGAGAATCCTTATTCGTAACATGATTGTTGAAAGTTATCAAGATTTCTGAAAAATATACAAAAATTAAGAATAAAAGCATTGTAAAATGTAAAATACTATTGGTTTGATATCTTTTAATTTAGTATGAAAATGTACTAAAATCGCTTAGTCTTTTAGGAATCATATTTATACTATAGTTTTATGAAAGTGAAGATATTATCTACCACACTTTTATGAGTAAATGATATTCTACTCCTTTGCGTCTATTGGTTGCTCCCAAATGCCATCAATTACTTTGTTTATTGCCCAATAGTACTTGTCAATGAGCTCCTGGGTCTTGGCAAATGAGATCTCGTTGTGAATTGAACCCATGTAATCATCTTCAAACTTTTGGATGAGCTCCAATGCTTGCTCCTTGAGAGATTGCATTTCTTCAGCATGCTACTCTTTGTATGCATTGAAAACAAGCTTCTGTGCTGGAGACAATCGATCTCCACGCTCCATACTAAAAAAAAAAAAAAAACTAGAAAGCAATTAGATCTGAATGAAATGAAAATAACGTTTGAAAAGAGTCAGTCGAGATAACCTTGTTTTTCTTGTTCAGTTAGTTGCTTATCATAACCTAGGAGACAAATACCTTTTCTATACTAGGGCCATAAGATTCGTCTCTTTATAAACTTTTTAAACCGGTTGCTTGTTTTCCATCATATTATTTTCATTAATTTTTTTAGTTAATTTTAGTTTGGTCAAGTGGCATTACTTTTCATAAAGAGGTGCATAGACAACCAGTGAGGTTTGCCTAGAAGCAGCCACCCTCTAAAGAGCGTGTTGGCTTATTCCTAGACAAAACTTATTAATTAAGGAAGTTTCAGTTCCATTAAAGTATTTGTTATAGTAGTTCTTTGAATTAGTGTTACGTCAAAATGCTAATGAACTAAGCAATATTATGTTTATTGTTATCTTTATGGTATATTTGAATTAGAACCTAAAACTGGAATTTTCAAAATAGGTTGAGGGAGTGATTGGTAATAGACTTACTATGTGTTATGATTGAGTTATATAAATACTCAAAGCTCTCACCAATCATAATTTGTTTTTGAAAACTTGAATCTAAGGGTTATGTTTGTTGACTTATGTTAGACTTACCTATTTTTGTTATACTTTGTAAAGTTAATAAATCAAAACCTAACTTAAAAACATAGAAATCCTCATGAGTTTAGATGTGGTAAGTTGTGTTACAATTTTTATTTTGAAAAAACAAAACAATTAGTTTTCAATCTATACTAGTATTTTCGCAACACTTTGGTGATGAGTGGGTAAAAATACTTCTGGGTTAATCGGATATCCGACCCGTTTCAAAAAATCTTTCACAAAAAAATTTGTTGGGTCGGGTTATATTTAACCCAACTCATACACCGGATATTCCATATATAATAATTTAGATATTTAGAAGATTTGATTAAGATTTATAATTATGATTCTTCTATCTTCTTTGTTTGATTTGTTTTTAACTATTTTGAATCATCATATAATACATAAAGTAAAAAAAAAAATCAATTTTTTTTTTCTGCATATACTGTGTTTCGAGATTTTAAAAACGGACATATATTATCCAATTGACGAAAATGTGTGTTCAATGTTCTACATCGATTAAAATATTTAGACAATGATTTAGAATCATATCATAAATAAGAACATTAATAAAATAAATGAGTTTTTTGGCCGGGCGGGTTTGGCAGGACGGGTTTTTGAATCAACAATAATAAAAATATTAAATATCATTAATCCGCCGCTACGGATTAATTTTTTTTTTTTTGTAATACCACAAATATTAGACATATTAAATCAGTCTCATTTAGAAAAGATTGTATAAAACCAAAAATTGTCCCGTGGTATATTGTTACTTAATAAAAATATTTATAAAATTTTGGAATATCATTAACATGCCGCTTTAATACATATTAAATCTTTAGTATATTTAAATATAAATATCTTAGAGAATGATATGATTTGTAAACTTTTATATATAATAAATAATCATTAAATTTTAAAATAAAAACAAATCACGGGACGGATTAAGAAATTATGGAACAGGTTATATTTCGGAAAGGATTTATATGGCGGACGAATTTGAATCAATATTTATTTACCGCTTTAATACGGGTTAAATCCTCAATTTATTAATAATTATCTCGTGGACTCGTGGTATACCGTTACTTAATAACAATTGTAAACTATTATATAAATAAATATGTTATAAGGAGATATAATTTACAAAATATTTTTATACTAAATTTAAAATTAAATCATCCCGCGGTACACCGCGGGTTAAAATCTAGTTAGTTTTTAAAAATTCTTATCATAGAAATTTAGTTATTATTTTAAAAAAATTTCAGCATTATTAAATTTCTTAATTTATGTTCTTTATTTTCATATAAAATCAAAAATATTTGCAGGCATAGATTTGAAAAAGATGAAATTTTAAATATGCTAGAAATGTACGTTATTTTTATAATTATTTATGTTACAAAAAGATTTCTAAAATTAACTACGTTTAAGTTCGTATTATTTTAGTAAGGCCCATCAGAGAATATTAGTAAGGCCCAAAACAATGATACTCACCGTTTTGGCATCGTCTACACACGAGCAAAACTGACGCAACGCAATGATGGCGTCTCAAAAACCTCGGGCAAAAAACATGAACAACTTCTTCAATCCCAGTAGACCAAGCCCGCGTCCATGGCCGAACAGGAAGAAGCAAACCAATAAATCTGCCATTTTCATTTGCTCCGTTTCTCTACTTGTTGTTTTCTTCGTCGTCGTCTTCTTCTTCATCACTTACTCCGAGATGCCCAAGTCCCTGTTCTCAATCTCTGCCTTTTCTGGATCCGTTCAATTCCCTCAGTGCAGATCCGAGATACTAACCCGAACTCTTCTAGGTCAGAAGTTCCTCTGGTACGCTCCTCACAGTGGATTCAGTAATCAGCTATCGGAATTTAAGAATGCGGTTTTAATGGCGGGAATTCTTAATCGGACCCTAATTATTCCTCCGATTCTGGATCATCACGCCGTCGCTCTCGGTAGCTGTCCTAAATTTAGGGTTTTGAGCCCCAGCGAGATACGAATCTCAGTTTGGAATCATTCAATTGAGCTTCTTAGGACTGACAGGTACAAAATCTCTTTTTTCGTTATGGGTTTTAGTAATTAGTCATGGTGGCTGAAGAATTTTGGTGTTTATAGGTACGTTTCGATGGCTGATATTGTAGACATTTCGTCGCTGGTATCTTCTTCGGCTGTTCGAGTCATTGATTTTAGGTACTTTGCATCACTACTGTGTGGTGTTGACTTGGAGACTCTATGCTCTGATGATTTAGCTGAACAGTCTCAGGCTTATGAATTGCTGAAACAGTGTGGCTATTTGTTATCTGGAGTTCGTGGCAATGTGGATAAATGTTTGTATGCTGTCGATGAAGATTGTAGAACCACAGTTTGGACTTATAAAAACGGAGATGCTGATGGAAGATTAGATTCGTTCCAGCCTGATGAGAAGCTTAAGAAGAAAAAGAAATTGTCCTATGTGAGAAGGCGTAGAGATGTGTATAAGACTCTTGGACATGGTACAGAAGCCGAGTCTGCAGCTATTCTAGCATTTGGGAGCCTTTTCACGGCTCCATACAAAGGCTCAGAACTGTATATCGATATACATAAATCTCCAAAGATAAAACCTTTGGTTGAGAAGGTCGATTTCCTTCCTTTTGTTCGAGAGATAATGAGGGCGGGCAAGAAATTTGCCTCAGAAACCATAAAGGCACCGTTTCTTTGTGCACAGCTTAGATTACTAGATGGCCAGTTCAAGAATCATCGGGAAAGCACGTTTACGGGTTTATACCAGAAGTTGGAATCTTTGAGCTTAAAGAATCCTGGTCTAATTAATGTGTTTGTAATGACAGACCTTCCTGAAAGTAACTGGAACGGAACTTACTTGGGTGATTTTTCTAAGAACTCTACAAATTTCAAGCTCCACTTTATAGGGGAACAAGATGAATTCTTAGTGCGAACAGAGCATGAGCTTGCTTCTGCGGGTCACGGCCAGAAATTTGGGTCTATTCCGATGAGTCTGGATAGTATAAAAAAGATGCAGAACCATTGTGCTCCTCATGGAGGATCCAATGTGCAGCTTTACATAGAGGAAGCTGTTTGCAGCTGTGCGTCACTGGGTTTTGTTGGTACCGCAGGGTCTACAATAGCTGATAGTGTAGAGATGATGAGGAAATACAATGCCTGTAGTAGTAGTTGAACTCAGACTTGCATTTCTATGATTCTTGTTTCCAGATTGAATTCATCTACTGGATGAGCCAATGCGGAGTGGTTGCCGGTCTTTGTATAGAGATGGATAGAGATAGATCTTTCATCTGTCTCCACTCTCCACTTGAGGTATTGGTGGTGAAAACAGGCTTTTGGGTTGTTTTGTGTTGTTAAGTTATTTGGGAAACTATCTTAGTTTCTTATTAATAGAATTAAAGCTACTTGGTTCCTTTCTGGTAATTCACACAACGAAAGGCTCGGGCCTGAGATCGATGACAACAAGAGTGGTTGCTTGGTGGTTTTGTGAGTTTTGTAGATGTCCTCTTGTGGTCGACAAGATTTGTAATTGTTGTACCAATGTCTTTAAACCGGTTTTGAATAAGAAGTTTTGTACCAAATAAAATAGTGGAATTGGTTTGGTTAAGAAGAAATCTAATTAAATTAAACCGGATTGAAAATTTACGTCGATGTATTTTGTGACCAATGAGATCTCTCCACGTTAGCAGATTCCACGTGCAGCTTTGACAGTAGTGATTTAAGCGAATTGAATCTGTGTCGTTTTGTTGGGTTCCCGTCGGTGACATCCACCGCGAACATTTCGACCGGAGTTTTGAGAAAATTGGATCTGCGATCTGATCGTTTCGCATCGTCGACGCGCAACGTTTCGAATCCAATAGGTGTGGAGAGGTTTTGTTGAATTTTGGATTCGGAGGTTATCACCGCCATGGCTGCTCCGTTTTTCTCTACTCCATTTCAGCCTTATGTCTATCAGGTTGTCTTCAATCTTCATTCTCTTCTCGCCTTGTAGATTCGTATTTTTGTCTGTCACTCTCGAGAAGGCTAGTGTTCAAATATACTTCTTCGCGAGTGTTTTTGATCTCTTGAATCTGTCTATAAGAGTATAATCTCAAAAGTGGTTTATGTGATGCAGAGTCAAGAAGATACGATCACACCTTTCCAAATTTTGGGTGGTGAAGCACAGGTTGTTCAGGTAAGTCCACATTAATTTTGTAGTCTGCACATTTTGTGTTCATGTGACATATCCTCAAGATAACCATTTGATTGATTTTGACAGATAATGTTAAAACCACAGGAGAAGGTCATTGCTAAGCCTGGTAATGTCCATATTATGATTGCTCATTAAGTTTTGCAAGTTTTGTTGGGTTGGATTGTATATGTTAACTGATTAGATATGGTTCTTTTAGGTTCAATGTGTTATATGTCTGGGTCCATTCAGATGGATAATAATTATACCCCTGAACAAGAAGTTGGAGTTGTACAATGGATTTTAGGAAAGAGTGTTAGCAGTATTGTTCTTCGCAACAACGGGCAAAACGATGGATTTGTTGGTATCGCTGCACCTTCTTTGGCAAGAATTCTCCCAGTTAGTGATTCTTACTTGCCATGATTTCCTTCCGTGTTATTTAGTATCATGCTTATTTAATATAACTCCTTATCTCGTTCTTATTTTGGTGAAGCTTGATTTGGCAATGTTTGGTGGGGACATCTTATGCCAGGTAAAACTGATGAACTAAAATCGTCAATTTTTAGATGCTTAGCTCTCAGCTTTTTCCTCCCCGTTCAATGATGTGAACTTTTCTTCTTGTTGTGTAGCCAGATGCATTTCTCTGTTCTGTCCATGATGTGAAGGTCGTAAATTCTCTTTACCAGAGACATCGCGCAAGAAACATTGCTCAAGCTGGGGCTGAGGTAAGGAAAACATACATTGCATTGGCTTTTGACACAGTTTATTCAAAACTTATAGTTATACCTTGTCTAGTTACTTCTTGTAGATGCTACTACTGTATGTGAAATTTTTATATATGTCTGGCTTTAACTCAGAGAATTGTTGTTGCAGGGGTTTCTGAGACAAAGGCTATCTGGTCAGGGTCTTGCTTTTATTATCGCTGGTGGCTCTGGTATGCAACTAAGGTTTATCTCAACATGCTGCTCTTAAGTTTAGGGCTTTTAAACTGATCCTACTCCATTTGCTTCACAAGTTGTACAGAAAAACCTGGAGGTGGGAGAAGTTCTCACCACTGACGTTTCTTGCATTGCCGCTCTCACTCCCTCGATCAACTTCCAAATCAAATACAATGCTGCACCTGTAAGACGTGCAGTCTTTGGGGTATGTTACGTTTCTTCCTTATACATTACAAACAAAATGTATCAAGATTGGTCCTTTTGTCAAACTAACAATCCTTCTATATTTTATCAAAAAAGGGTGAGAACTTAGTAACAGCAACTCTAACGGGACCAGGCATCGTGTTCATCCAAAGTTTACCGTTTCATCGACTCTCGCAGCGAATTGCAAGGTAAAGAATCGAAATCTCCCCTTGGGTATAAATAATTTTGGTTTCTTGTATAAGAAGAACAATTCAAAACTAGACTCACCAAGGGTTTTTGCTTGCAGGTCGGTGACGTCCCCAAATATGAGAGAAAATCCAAGATTATTAGTTCAAATAGGATTATTCATATTTCTTGCATACGTTGTAATTGTGTCGTCTTTAATCCTTACTGAAATGTGAAAATAGAGAGGTTTCTTTTGTCCCGTCACCTCAAAACATTCACTCACTTTTGTTTGTTTTATTCTCTTTTGTTATATACAGAGGTTTTACACCAATATCACAACATTAAAATTTTTAAGTAAGATGTTGCATTAAGATGGTTTCATGACAAAAAGGTTCTACAACACTATTTTTCACGGGAACGCTATTTAGTAAAACACAAAAAAATCAATGATTTACACGTATATAAGATCAAGTTTAATCATTGATTTTATATACGTGTATGATTGGGTATAAGAAGTAGAACCGCAACATGATTCCAAAAGTTAAAGTAGTGTTTCTCCATTTTGAAGCTCCAAAACCGAAAACTCATAGGACTTCGGCCACTCTCTCCTTTTCATCATACACTCTAATACTCCCCCGCAAGCTTGAGCGTTGGGACACCAAAGGACCAAAGATCAAGCTTGGAATCCGCAAAGAACTACCTCATTAAAAACCTTAACAAGGAAAACCACATGGGATAAAACCTCGTTAAGGGAAAAAGAGTATAGTCTTTACGGTCCTTGATGTAGCTATGATCTCGGTTTGACATTGAATAGAACCGGCTCCCTTTTCTTCAAGTCTTGAACCGCAACTTTCATTTCCTTAGCCCTCCTTTGCTTGATCTCTCATCTTATGGCTTTCTTCATCTAATCTAGCGCTCCTTTTGATTAAAATTGATCTTACATACGTGTAAATCATTGATTTTTTTGTGTTTTACTAAATAGCGTTCCCGTGAAAAATAGTGTTGTAGAACCTTTTTGTCATGAAACCATCTTAATTTAAACTTTTGCCAATCAATATAGTCTGCATGAAAAAGCTCATTCGACAATTAGTTTATTCAACTTTCTGAAGATGAAGAGGTAGCAAGAGTTTTAAGTACTCACGAAGTTTCAAACATCTTACATGAAAATAAATAAATGCACCAATTTAACATGTGCAATTGTATGCATATAAACAAAATTTCAATTTTAAAATCATATAATAATCATTATGATACCAATATTTAGACTAATTCATACTCCAGTTCTACAAATATTTTAACATATAGTAACTTCATATAATTTAAAATCAAATATCACAAATTATTTCAAAAACAATGATCCGGCTAGTATTTGATTAAATAAGAAGTCATACAAAAGAGCAACATTAATCGTTCTAAAATAAAACAGAAGATAGAGAAATAAAATCCATTTATATAACAAAAACATTCGATTACATATGACTTTTTTCTTAAACTCAACACAACAAAGCAGATTACTTAAACATCTTCCATCTCTGAGACAGAGGGCATTCTCGTCATAGAATCAGGCCATGGCTTCGTCTCCGTGAAGATAATGAAGGGCGTTTCAGTCATTTGCGCACACATTTGAATCTTTATTTGTTCGAATCAAGCTCGCGCTCTTTCTCCTTTTGATCGCTTGGAATGGCGGGAATGCTCATCACCGGCTTCGGAAGGTGCCACCGAAGGAGATCGCTTGTACCTTGATGGCTTCCTCTTGAAATGTCTGTCTTCATCATCACTTGAATCGTATTCGACCATCTCTCTTTCTCTTCGACTATGACGACGACCCGATGAAACGGCGGCTAGCGAGCTCTCTGGAGGCGCTGGAGAAGCCTTTGATGTCTTTCGTTGTTTGCCAGAAGATTCCTCCTCTCGAAAGCTTATCCGAGTGAATACGTTGGACTTATGGTTATCATCGATCTCTGCGGTTGGTTCCGATGATGGCTTTTCGGATCTCTTACGGTGCTTGCGATCTGTATCTCTGTGACGGTCACGGCGGCGGTCGTGTTCGGAATCGAGGTCTTGGTGATGGTCATTGTGACGATCACTCTCAGATTTCCTGCTGGATAATCGTGAGGGAGATTTGACCCTCCGATATGACTGACGCTCTGGTGATAATCTCTCCGATCGCCTGCGACGGTCATAATCCGACGAAATAGGTGGTGGAGGTCCTTGTCTCTGTTTATTCAAGAACAAGGCCATTATTGGTAAAATAATAGAAAGGAAATTTGAGTCATGAGCCCAATAAAAGATACATTGGGCCCAACCCAATTTTTATACTTAATTCTAATTAGCTTATTTAATTAAATACAAAAAAAAAGAGTCAGCAAACAGTAAAATAAATATCAAATATGTTTATTTAAAATATAATTTAAAACGTGTTTTTAAAAATGTAATTTAAAATATGTCCCGATTTAATATGATTTTGATATCAGTATTTAACTTTTTACTTTAAAAATAAATAGATCAAATATCTATCACAAAAATTTAATACTGTCAAAAAGTTTCTAACATAAAATAAGAAAAATAATATTTTATAAGCTCGGCAAAAATGCCAAACTAATAATACATTGGACTGTTTTGGACCACGTCTCATGTAAGCCCAACGTTGAACAAAACTATATGAAGCATATTAACCCGTTCGATAACTATCCTGAAATTAAAATACACTTCCTACTGCTCTCTCTACTTAACCCCTTTTTTCCTCCTACGAAAATTTCTATATCGACGAGGCCAAAAATTATGGGATAGTTTTTACTTGTGGAAATAACTTTCAATTCATTTATGCATTCTATAGCAAGTCAACACATTTTATGGCATTAATTCAATTTCTCCACTACCTCATCCTAATCATAAATGTCTCCTCTGTGAGTTTTACCCCTAAACCAAATTAAGCATAAAGCAGACGCCTATTTAGCAATTGTGGAATCAACCCTTTTTTTTTTTTTTTTTAACGTAAAAAGATATGCAGAGAGCGAGAAATATAGAAATAAAAAGAGAGAAAGAGGGTGTTGAGAAAACGTCATCTCTTGCAAGCCGAGAGAGAGAGCGAGAGAGAACTGAGACAACAAAATGATACATACAGATTTTGGCTTCATGGGTGAGGAAGATGCTGCCGAGTTGTTCATTATTCTGCTCTTTTCACCGTCCCTGACGACATTCCCTCTGTACCACACAATAAACAAACAACTAGTTAACATGCTGTATACATATATAAGCCTGAAATTAGTGAATGCACAGACAGTGCTTTACCCTTCTGACCGTCTCTCGTTGTCACGCTTTCTTTTCATCTCAGTTTTCTTGGCTTCAAATTCTTCTCTCCCCATTATAGGATGCTGGAGATTCATACGATTCCCCATCTCCGCAAGGTCCCTGCTCAAGTCACATGTCCTATTTCATTATCTATATAACTTACTAATAGATATTATGAAAATACAACATCACAAACTATTTATGAACTGAGAGAGCAAGTCTCAGCTTCTCAGTACCTATAAGGTGGTCGTATATTCGGGAACCCGAAGCCCTGTGCAGCAAAAGGATCTGGATGCATCACACCGCCAAACGACATGTCCATGGGGCCTATTCCATAGCCAACAAAAGGAGGCATCGCACCAGGAAAAGGGCCTGGAAACCCATTGAAACCATGATGAAAGCCATTGAACCCAGATTGAACGCCATTGAACCCATGTTGGACGCCGTTGAAGCCGGGTTGCAAACCATTGAAGTACTGATTACCGGGACCTGGACCCATGGGCATCATATAGTCAGGGCCTGCTAGATCTGACAAAGGACCACGAAGACAAACAATCCGTTAAGCCTCTCTATACAGTTAACATAGACTGGGAAGAAAGAGCATGAGTAGTCCACAGCAAAATAATAAAAAGCTACCGGTTCCAGTCATCCGAGGTTTCTTCTTCTTCCTTTTTCCTGGTGAAGAGCAAAAGTATGCATTATTACTTTACTGATGATACTAATCGCCAAACATCAATGTACATTGTATAATGTGCAAAAGGTGATGCTTTCTCTTCTTTATATGTGATAAATGCAAAAGTTTCTCATGCTAATAGGAAATAGCCAGTGATTACCTTGCTCCCCAGAAGCAACCTGCTGCGGCATTTCTTCCTTGGGGGCCTGCGCATTCAGTTGTGAAACTGCTGCTTCCTTGCCATTTGAGGATCCTTGAATGTTTTCAGATGCATCAACTGGCTTTTCAACTTTAACTATTTCTGCAGACGCCCGAGGAGTACTTGTGATCTCCAGTATTTCTATTGACGGCTTTAGAGTTGAAATCTCATTGTTGTTACTAGGAGCTGGTTTCTTTTCGCTTCCAGATGCAGCAGACGTAGTAGGAGATAAAACCTTAGGAAGTGGACACCGTGCAGACTCCATATCTAGATTAATACTCATTAGTTTACCAATGATGGTAAAAACAAATATAAAAGACTGCGAATGAGAAAATGAAATACCTTGGACTTGACACATGCTGCCAGCGTTCTCAGCACTACTGTTACCAGACTCCAAGATACGGTTTATAGTATCCCTTAGGGTCTTGTTTGGTAGCAGATCATCAGCTAGGACATCAGTTGCTGTACAAGCACACATTGACTTGGCAATGATGTGATCTCTAATACCTGAATTGTAGATAATGATTACAGAAAAAAGGCGTTAGTGGAACAGCAAAAGGAATCAGATGCATTGGCAATTTGACAAGAGAACTTACACTTGTCACAGTAGCTCTTGAGACAGCATTTGCTTGCCAGTGCAGCATCTCTCATCACTTCTTTGCACAATGGGCATTTTAATTCAGGAGGAAATTCCCCGACTGATCGTGTTGTTGATGTCAATCCCTCCATTTCCTTCTCAAACGCATCCCTAAATTTGTCAAATTGACATAAGTGATCAACATCATGACTAATTTATGTGAAAAAGTACTAACAAACAACTCGCCATGTTAATTTAGTGACAACATACTCATTTGGTTTTAAAACTGCTACTGCGCCACTTGGCAAGGAGTAAGAGCCATTTGGGGTCGCCATCAGCATTGACTTGGGGATACCAGTAGGTGGTTTAACTCTCTTAACATCAAAATTAGGATTACCGTTTGTGGAGCAGTGTTGAATAAAATGTCCTGAGGCAGAAAAAAGATGCACAGAAAGAGATGCTCAGAACACAGTTTTTTCTCGGTAATAACCGTACACACTCGAGACGATATTAAACCAAATTATAAAATATATAAAGATTCTCTAAGTCTGTCATACCAGAAACATTGCACCGATGGCAAACATAGCCTGGTGGCGGCGTTTTCCTTTCCATTCCTACGCAAACAAATACAATCAGTCTCTGTAAATTCAATGAAAGAGCGAACAAAATATTTGGATAATAATTGACAGAACATCCCAGTCTCGGAACAAAATATCTGAGGGGATTGAAGCATATTTGAAGCATATAAGTTAAATCATATACAGAAATATAATTACCAAAACCGCGGCCACCCATCCTTCCAGCCATACCCCTCCCATAACCTCTGCCCGGGCCAAAACCATCCGCACCTTGTCTGTAACATGAAAGAAAAATAAGAATGTTATGCAAAATGTATGTCAAGATCTTATTCCGCATGCTCATGTCCATCAGTTCAAGAAGACTACTTACTGCTGCCAGTCTAGTGCTGGGGTGTCAATTAATGCCTTTATTTTGGTTTCTTCATCTACTTTATCATCGGCTGGTGCAGGATCATGACATAGGTTATTAGAATGGACTGCTGGGGCATCAGGAATTGAATACAAATCATTCCCAAACTCATCCCATTCGTCTTCAACCTATAACGTAGATTAAGGTGTCAATTAATATCTGTGTAGAAGAATTCGGCCAATAGAAACTGAGGAAATTTGCCATAATCAACTCACAGCAGATGCATCAGCAGTAATAACATTGTTCAGGTCAGCTTGAACGTTTTCCACTTTATCCTCAACTCTCGGCCTGCAAAATGTAGTTATTTACATCATTACACATGAGGGTCCGGTCTAACTTAACAAAACTCGTAATGAAATGCCCAGCTTAGAGTGAAAGAACACAAAGATCGAACAAAGCAGTTAGATCTCAGAAATTACTCTGGTATGGTAATAATTCTGATGCGAGGGCGTCCAGGAACCCGGCGAATTAGAACAGAAGTATTTTTTGGTATTAACATTGCTTCATCCAGATATTCTGAAATTGCAAAAGAAGAAAAATATATGAAGGCCACATATTGCTACTATATATCAACAGAGAATTGTAGTGAAGTGTTTCAACGTAACTCTTTCTAATAATTAACAACCACAAACCAATCAAGAACACTCTAATCTCAGAAGTAATAACATTTAACGCATAAGATTATACAGTACATTTTCAAATCCATTTTACTGAAGCAGTTAGATACTAAACAATCCATGGCCAGATTAACATTACTAAATGTGATTACTTCGATAAGTGAATAAAGAAGACAGCCACATGAATATTGATCACAATCAGACCAGAATCCAACCCTAGTTAACAACACAAACACAAGGAACAATATCTTCTAGGTGAATAGCATAAGAAGGAGGAAGACAAACCTTCATTAGTTTGGGCATTAGAGATGACAATGTCAAGGTCTTTACCACTTCCCAAATGCTTAGTTTCGTAAATTTTTTCTTTGAGAAAACCAACTGTTATAAAAGGACCATCCATGGAGATGGAATCATAATCCCTCGCACTCTTAAACTTGTAATAAATTGCCATTCGATTTAATCTGATAATGAATAAAAATACAATATATGTATTACTAATTTAATAAAACACACAATAATCTACTCTTTTGAAAAACCTTAATCCAGGCCAAAAAAATCGAGGCCAGAAATTTGATTTCCAAAAAAACAAAAAGTAACTACAATTTGATTCTTTACTTCTCTGATTGGACTTCAACAGATTCGACAGACGAAACCTCTCACGCGCTTCAAGACGACATCAGATCAACGAGAAAGCTCAGGAACGAGAACGTCCGTGTTGAATTGAATCCAATAGATCGCAGGGACAATGCTCAGATGTCTCCAAATCTCTGATAGGATCTTCACGTGAACCGCGACAAGCAAATTGAATTCACTAGCTTCAATTCAGAAGATCCTGAAACTCTCCAAGCACCGAATCGAGGATATAGAATCGAAAACCACTGTATCCCTAATGATTCACGGTGAAATTGCAGACGATCTCGAGAGAAAATTAGAGAATCTTCGTATATCAAGGAGAAACCGATGGGTATCGCACGAACACGAACTCTAGGGTTTGGACAGAGAACTGTCGTATCCAAAAGACTCTTCCCCTAATTCCTCTCTTAAAGAATAAGAGCCTAAACGTAAAGTTCTTATGGGCCCTACAGTAGTTCATTTAGGCCCAATAAGTAAAAAGGCCCAATAAGGTTTTTCTCAATCTGATGGAAACCCTAGCTCCCATGGAGACATCTATTTAAAGCAGAAACCTAATTGGAAGAAAGAAGTGACTGCGACGCCGGAAAAACGCAATGGGTATGTTTCTCATTATTCTCTCTCGCTTTGATGTTGTTTCTGTATTATTCATTTGATTTTGGGTATACATATGTTTGAGTAAGAAGTGTGAATTAAGAAGGACGAAATGTGATTTTTGATGATAGGTGCGTACAAGTACGTGTCGGAGCTATGGAGGAAGAAGCAATCGGATGTGATGAGGTTTCTGCAGAGGGTTAGGTGTTGGGAGTATCGCCAGCAGCCTTCCATTGTTCGTCTTGTTCGTCCCACTCGTCCCGACAAAGCTCGTCGTCTCGGCTACAAGGCCAAGCAGGTCTTTTTCTTCTTCTTCTCATCATTTTGTTTATCATACTAATAGTTTTAGGTAATGTTGAATCTAGCCTTATCGATTACATTGCTGGTTAAGCGGTGTCTTGATGCGTAGTCATTTATGTCTGCGCTTTATGATAGAATACTTCCTGAACCCAGCTAGAACGATTCATTCTTCTGACTGAACAGCTCTTTATCTTTTGTGGACTCTGTTCCTGTCTAAGATTGATACATTTTTTAAGCCTTTGATCATAAAATGTACTATGTTTGATTAGTTATTCACTGTCTTTATTGCTTACTTCTCTTGGTTCTCTGTATTAGGGATTTGTTGTTTACCGTGTTCGTGTCAGACGTGGTGGTCGCAAGAGGCCTGTTCCCAAGGGTATTGTGTATGGTAAACCCACCAACCAGGGAGTGACACAGCTCAAATTCCAGCGTAGTAAGAGATCTGTTGCTGAGGAACGTGCTGGTCGCAAATTGGGTGGCCTTAGGGTCGTTAACTCTTACTGGCTCAATGAGGTATGCATCACACCCTTGGTCGTTATTGTAGTTACTATCCATAGTAGAATTCTAGGTGTCAAATGAACTTGACTCATGTACATTCAGACGTTGGCATGATATAGAAACCTGTATATCTAAATCATCCTATAAATGTGTAATGAAATGGCATGTGTATATTGACCTGTATATCTAAATCATCCTATAATTGTGTAATTGAATGGATTCGGATGATTAACTGTTTGTGCTTTCTCTGTTTCTTAGGACTCTACCTACAAGTACTACGAGATTATTCTAGTAGACCCCGCACACAATGCTGTCCGAAATGATCCAAGGATCAACTGGATCTGCAACCCGGTGCACAAGCACAGAGAACTCAGAGGGCTCACCTCCGAAGGAAAGAAGAATCGTGGTCTTCGTGGAAAGGGTCACAACAACCACAAGAACAGGCCTTCCCGCAGGGCTACCTGGAAGAAGAACAACAGTCTCTCTCTCCGTCGTTACCGGTGATCAGTTTTATGTTTTGTTTTTCTCGAAGTGGTATATCTTCTGTGTGGATTTGTGTTTCGGAATTCTGGAATTACATTGGGATGGAAGACTTTCATATTCTAGAGTTTGTTTCAAGTTTTGAGTTCTTAAAAACTTTGATTCTGACCATAAGGCAAAGTTTATTAGTTAATTTTGATGATGATTTTGTTTTTACTTAATATCAAGAGTGTAGATTTGCTCCTACCTATTACTTATGAATGCCAATAAACTGAAATGTGAAACCTTTTAAAAAATTAACTATGATATTGTAATCAATCAAGAACGTGAATGTATCCAAGATGTTTCTATTTAGAGCCTTTCTTCAATGAAGCTGTCCTTCAGATTTTGGAGAGCTTGACGGATTGAGTCTTCTGTCTGTCTAGAGTATTTCAAGCATATCAACCTTTGAGCGACTCGGTAGATCCTATGTATTTCGTGGTGCTTACCACAATTTAGCTCTATTCTTTTATTTTCCTGCCCAACATTCATCATGAACATGAGAACAAAAGTCTTAATAATAGTTTTTATGCTAGCCTATTAAGTTTTGGGTAATACCTTGTCTGTGATCCATGTGGTTATGGTCCTAGCTGTATCAATCACTGTAGTAGGCAGACCAGCCACTTCGGCTAATAGAAGGCCATAGTGTGGAACATGTAATGTTCCATCTCGCAGTTGAAACTGATCAGAGAAATGTAACATTTAGCAGCAATATTTAAAATCTTGAATTCATACGAGAGGAAGGCAGATAGAACCTTGAAGTCTAAGCGGTTGTCTCTGATGTCTACATAAAAGTGAAGAACCTTGACATTTGGGTAGATGGTTGCTAACTCTGCGAGACTGTCCATATGGGTTGCAAATACTGTATACCTGAAAGTTTAAAGCCACAAAACCACATTTGCATTTACTTATTAAGTACCCTTCGACAGTGGGAAAAACTCAGTGAAATGCTTACGCTTTGAGTGATAAGAGATACTCGCAGCAGCTCCATGCCATTGCTAACCCGTCTGAGGAAGAAGTCGCCCTCCCGAGTTCATCCATGACTATCAAACTCCTACAGTTTGAGGAGCTTATAAGGTATGAAACTGAGGGGGAGGTTTGTTTGTATCAACTGCTTTCACAAAGCCTACCTGTTGGTGACATTCTGCATTATGAAAGCGGTCTCTCTCATCTCCGTCATAAACTGTGACAGTGAAAAGTAAGGAATGAGAATTGTAATATCAATTTTCCTCATGTAAAATTTTTTGTGGTAATAGTGGGCGAGTCTCCTTTCGAAGTAAAGGCCTTCGCATTCCTAATTTGCTCTCCTTGTGATCATAACTGTTGGGATTCATCAACAAGCCAAATCCTTGGAAATGATCATATTGATAATGCTCATCTACCAATATTGGAGAATATCTGAGCGAGAATTTAAAGGTTTACCGTGCTTGAATTTGACTCAAGGTTATCCATGGTCCCCATTCTTGTAAATATGCGGTCAACCACCCTTATAGTTGCAAAGCGAGCTGGAACATAGCAGCCAATCTGAGCAAGAATGACTACTAGACACACCTGTTGGAGATATGTGCTCTTTCCGCTCCTTGAGATGTGGGGTACAAATTCAAACATGAGTCGATGAGGATTTTCTGGAAAATTGATCAGCAGTAGAGGAAGTAATGCAAGAGTTCCCTTACATGTTTGGACCCATAACTACCAACATGTTGGTTGCTTCTGACATGAAGATACTATTAGACTGCAAAAGAGAAAATTTGTGAGTTAAACAAGCGTGCACAGGGCTTATAATGAAAACAAAGGACACAAGAAAGTTGGTGAAGAGAGCATAAACTGCAGAATACACAAATATGAACTTCTTCAAATTCTTGGAGCTAATGTTAGAGAGAATTAGAATATCAGATACTTTTCTTCAAGCTTTTCCAACAAGATGATGTCTCAGAATAGTATCATGAGAAATAGCACTCAGAACTTACAACAAAGTCGTTGTGTATGCTTTCTAGGAGGGGATGCCTTCCAGCGTCAATTGCCAGTGGGCCACTATCTGCCAAACAATATATAGACAAGTAAATTCCACAAAAAACGTTGATCAATCATTTCACTTAATTGTTCAAGAATTCTTTAGAGCTAAGGAATATGAAAGGTTACGATGGTAGGTGTTTGAGGAATGATAGTGAGAGAGTCAGCTACCTGTTAGTTCTGGTCTAGAGTATCGATCCACTGGCTTTGTGGATATTGTATGAGCAAATGAATTAACAATCATATCTAGGAGACATAAGACTTCTGCTAGGAGTGTGAGGGCAGAAATATCTTCCCTTATAGCATCCATTAGTGCTGCATACATACGAAAAACATTTCGCGTAATAGGAATAAACAAAACGAGCATGGATTATAATGAATTGTGTTATTATATATAGTGTAGAGCAATGTGAAATTATCAACCTTCCAAGCATGTTTCCGTTCGAATGAAACACTCTCCAGCAGCAGACTTATTCCTGACATTCAACTGCACAGCAGATCAAGGTACATTGTGTCTAGGTTCCTGAAATCATGAATATAGCTCCTACTAGTGCTAGATTTGAGGACTCATTCTTCTCAAATCAAAAAGATCCAAGGTGTTTCAAGTCCTTGCTGGATTAAAACCTTGGTAAGGAAATTTTGTTCATTTAAAATTATTTGTAGCAAACATCAAACTTTGTATAGATAGCTGTAACGTAATCCTGAACTATATCACTTCATGAACTGATAAAAATGATTAAGCACCAAGAGAATCACACAAGGAAACGAAGCATCTGAAATTGTTATAGTTCAACTTACAGAAGCTAGTTCCAGACTAGAACAATGAATGTTTTTCCCATGTTTTACAACCTGAATTACATGCCACGTACAAGAAAAATAAAATCAGGAAAACCATATATATAGAGAGAACATTAAGTTTCAAATGGAAGTACGTTTTTTACCTGAGTGAATTTGTTTGGAAGTTTTCCCTGAACTTCCTTCTGAGGAATTCTGAAAAAGAAGCCCTGCCTGTTGTTGAAAGGGAGTTTCAGATTTGGCAAGTTGAATTCCTCACGATACTTACTCGCCAGATTATGTATTGCTGTCAGTGTTTTCAAGATTTCAGATTAGCAAACCAGATTTGTAAAAGGGAAAAGCAGTGATAATACAAAATGAAGCATATTCTTGGTTCACCTTCACTAGTATCACAGAAGGTTCTTCTTGCAATATCCAAAAATCCATCAATTCCAGCTTTTAAAGCAAAACACTGCTGTGTGCGGGCAACAAACGGAACCCGTGCATGGAGGACATCATCATCAATAACTTCCCCGATTCTGAAACAAAAAGAGTCTAGTTACTGTAAAACTAGTTACTAGAAACCTTATAGGATAAACGAAGTTCATAGTTGCTATCTACTAGCCAGACCCACTAATGGCGTACTTTTTTCTGATAGAAGCATATCTATCATTTTCACACA